CAATATGTTATTTTAATTTATTTGATCTCATAGATATTTATGTCTATTTTTGTTATTGAAATGATGATTTATGCTTATATTCCATATATGGGTACCTATTCCATATTTGGTTACTCATTTGTGATTTTGGTTTTGTGTTAGATTTTAATTTGGTAACTAATATATTTGATTAAAGGCTGTTAATTACTAAATATAAATGTCTGACTGATTAGTAATTACATTAAACTGTTTTAGTTTCTATGAAGTTTTTTTTTTATATCCCTGAAACAAAATGGTATTCCATATTGGGTGACTTTCCTCTAATGATATAGCCGTGATATAGTAAGACTATACGTAAGAAAAATAATTATTGAATAAATTAATCGAGCTGTTGCTTTGACGGTGTCATCGCGTTTATGTTGGTTGTGAGGCGAGAAAGTTCACGTTCATGATATACGGATAAATAAATAACGGATAAAATATGTGCTACGAGTTCTCTGACAGCAATTTTGACATAATTTTTTTGTTAAGCTATTAATAACGGTAGTGGCGGTACCTCGTGATCGGTATTAAGGCATGCAATCTAGAGCCCCGGTTTGAATCCCAGCAATTGTGTTGGCATGCACAAACGACTTTTCTATTTTTTAGGGTGCCGTACCCAAAGGGTAAAACAGAACCCTATTACTAAGCCTTCGCTGTCTGTCTGTCTGTCCGTCTATCACCAGTGAGACAGTTGAAATTTTCACATATGATGTATTTCTTTTGCCGCTATAACAACAAATAAGTACTAATAAACAGAATAAAATAAAAATATTTAAGCGGGGCTCTCACACAACAGACATGATTTTTGATGGAGAACGGTTCGGAGCTCTTCCAATGTATCATCGTAATTTAGTTGAAAAGAGTATCAGATGCTTACTTTTGTCGACAACTCCAGGCATAATTTGAGTTTGCATTTTATCGATATAAATAATTATGCAGTTTCAAACTTTCGAAGATAACGACAACGTTATTCTTAAAGCCACCAGATGCATAAAGCGCGCCGCTTCTTAGCGTCGTCAATAAACACAGCGAGCTGCGAGGAATTCCATTATAGGAGTTACGGCGCAACGAAGTACGCGTGAAACCAGTTAACTTGCGAGTCACGTATGTATCTTCGTGATCTGTGGGTGGATGGCCGCCTGAGCCCGCGCTAGATATGGATAAATAAAACCCACGGTCCATCGCATTGCATTAGGTAACTTCGTAGCGTAATATTGAATAACCTTCGTTATAGAACGTACTCTTTTAACAATTCCACTCCTAAAGCTTCGGTCACAGTGTCACACACATAATATTCGATGCGAGTGAATTCGCTGCTATTTATACTTGCACCAACAATTCGCTGCTAGTCTGTCACATAAAGCTACTTCCACACGATAATTTAAACAGTGTGTTGGTGCCCCAAATACAAATAATATGTCGTGCACTCGTTATGTAGCGCGCTCAGCGGAATGACTGCCCTGTCACAGACAGCGAGTTCTCAATGCGATTGCCTAGTCGCAGCGGGTCTTCGCTATGTGTGACCGAGGCTTTAAACAATAAAAATGCACGTGACACTCCTACGCTTATTCTACTCCGAATAAAATCAACACCGAGTTGTAAAATGTTAACGAGCATCGTGACTGTGTGCCATTTTCTGGTACTTCAAAAACAAAGATGTTTTAATTAACTTATTGTGATGGTGGTATTAAGTTCTCTCCAGGATTGGGTTTATTTGAAAATTATTTATATATGTATGTACCTGTGTGTGTTATTTATAGTATAGATCTATAAAGCTCATATAAAATAAGGTTAATAAATAAAACCTATTCAGACTGAAATCTACTGATGATTAATCAACAATATAGATAGAGATCAAGAAATCGATAGCTTAATTAAGTATACAGAATACATAACGTTTACAAACTCTACCATGACAATCTTTAGTAATGCACAGTGCCTTTGGTCACTGTCCTTCATGTCACGATGAATGATGATCACGTCACGACGAATATACTTGTTGTTTTGCTTCGAACTGTTAAGAATAGTCCTCAGTTTGCACGCAACATTGTTGGAAATAAAGTTAGGTAAACTATGGAAGACATTTTTAAAGTATAAATATAATATGAAATACAATTGAAACTCAATAAATCAGAATAATTGTTGTCGTTAGGGATACCGATAATCGAAAATGCGGATTGTCAATATAAAATGTAAGTGTAGTTAATCGGTTATTGCACATAATATTATTCATAATCCTAGGTGTGTATTAAAAACAACAAAAATAAATTAAAGCTATGAACAAAAATCAATGTTTATTAAGAGATTAGTTTTCGAACGTAGTTCTTAGGTATACAGCGTGTCTTTACAATCGCGACAATAAATGAACACACATATAGGGGATAACTTTTTAAAATTGTATTAAACATTTACATTTTTTAAACATCAATATTTACAGTTATTAAATTTTCCAAAACAACGAATTATAGAACACCCATATAAAACTGTAACGTAAAGTTCATTTGTAAAGGTCACAAAGCATATGAATGGGTTGAATGAATTAAAAGAGACAAAACATACTGTTAGATGGAGAAGCAAGTAATAAGACGCTGTGGCGTGAGTTTCGAGGATGTTACAAATTTTGTTTCTTTTTTACTTAATTAGTTTGTTTGACCAATATTTTTTTTAATTATGGATTTTGTTTAACGTTAAAATTTTTTTATGAATATTGGCAAGTAGCGTTAGACGTGTGTTCATTTATTGTCGCGATGGTAACGACACGCTGTATATATGTACATATATATTTTCTTAAATTGAAACATAAAACGATAATCAGGAAGTAAAATTAATTATCAAGTGTTTAACTTAGCTCTAATATTTGGTAATTATCATTGTCAAATGATAATTACCAAATATTAGAGTTTAGTTAAGTAAGCTATTTTTTCATTGTTGATTTTCTTTTATGTAGAGAAGGTGGCTAGCGAGCAGGGGGTTCATCTTATGTTAAGTGATAACCGCCACCCATGGAAATTTGCAACACCCGTAGGGTTGAAGATGCGAGTCCACCTTTTTAATAAAATGGCCCTCGGCTACCTCACCCACCAGTTTCCAGTACGAAATAAATACCTTTTACGAGGTAAAATTATGCTAAATGTCAATCTAGCTTATGAACTATATCAATTGAAAAATCATTTAAATTCAACCATTGCGGCGTGCTAAACAAATTTATAACGAGATCATAACTATATTCTATGTATGTAATAATCAAATCGAATAGTTTTTCTTGTGAATACCATAATGACTAACGTTAAATAACAAACGCAAAAGCGAAACTAATAGCTGGTTGCACCGCTTTCGTAATAAGCTTTAGGGCACTGGAATCTCCAATAAAAACAAACATACATCTGCCCATTGAGTGCGGCCCTTATCGTGCCCGCCGAGCGGACATCGAGGCGACCGACTGAGCGTCGAATGATTTATTGTGTTTATATGCGTCCCCAACTCTCACAAGCTGGCCGCGACATTGCAAATGAATACTATTAATCGAAATCATACGCATCTGTCATCTCCATATGCATGATACAATGTTTCTGCCCGTATCAAAATGAACAGAATTCGGAAGTGTCATTTATTAGAATATTCTAAATTCAGAAAAATTTATTTATTATGTTATCACATAACAAAGAAGAAAGGAAAGAACTAATGAACTAATTCGAAACTTATTTATAAACTTAAATGGACAATTTCCTCTTATAAATACTAAACAACAGGTCATGGAGAGACGGTTCCGCACTGGTTCCACATTATTTTTAATTTCACATACGTCTCGTGTACCAGACGGCACGGAGTATTGGCGAGTGGATGAAGGTTAAATCATCTGGAAATAGTAGGAGCGGTTTGTTTAGTTAAGACTCTTCCTGGAAACTACGCTAAAATTAGACTCTTCCCGCACGTTCCTTTACACTGGCCAATATTAATGACTGTTTATAAACATTGTCGCGACGTAAATTGGTATACCTACCTATTCGGTTTATTGATATCCGGAATAACTTAGATTTTTATTCTGTGATACAATTTCGTTATGACAATAAAAAATAATCTACGCATCCCTATTATAATAACTAGTAATTGTATGGTAAATGTATAAAACCAATTTATGTACTTATTCCAGTATGAAGCGATGTTAAAACTGAAGAAGGGCAAAAATTATCGTTATAATAAATAATAGGTTCTAGCATGTTATAGCAACGTTCTAAAATATAAAATGTTTATGACGCTCAAGACAATAACAATTTTAAATACGTCGTCTATAAAATGCCATCATAATATCGGCAATTTCACTGCCGCCAACCGCAAAAAGAGCCTGAGTTTAGCAGATGGTGAACGCTTAGAATTCCATGCGTGCCGCACAGGGGCCGTAAATTCAAATGCGCAGACTACAAATACAAGCCGCATTAGCATTAGCTTAACGCGGAGGAAATTTTTAGCCAGTTTACCAGTTACAGCAGATTATGCAAAGTTTAGTTATCCAGCACAATATTTATGTCATAAAACCCAGTCTATTGAAAAAACGTATAACTTCTATTAATTTTAATATTCAATCGCGATTGTGAAAGGTTTCCAATATTTACCGTACCTAGCGCTATTAAAATAATCATTTATAATTTTGATGTAGGTACAGTTCACTAAATTAAAGTGTTAGGCGAAGTATCCTAGTTAGCGACTAATTATTTGAAGTTACTTCTACTAATGTTAATAAGGATGATAATAATAATGTGACATGAAATTCAGTTTACTAATTCTCCAGGATTTTCATCGACTAGCTTTTGTCGCGTGATTTCCTTGGTGCGAAATGAATGAGAAGGTGATGAGCAATTTTTATTCGCAATTTATTTCAAATCCGCTTAGCTGCTGCAGCCTATGATATATAGGAATGACATAGAATGAAGAATTTTGCATTTAAAACATTGGCGTGATATTAACAAGTATTATTGTTACAGGTACAAACTGCACGAAAAAAGGACTCGGCAACGTCTACACTCAAGAGAAGCTCTCCTCGTCTTAATCAATACCACCGATCATTCTACAGTACAAATAGCTTTATAACCTCGCACGTGAAACGAATCGAAGGGAAGAGAATTATTTTCTTATCACAAATATACAAATCATGTGAAACGTCCAGTTTATTTTATTTACTTTACCGACCGCTGGCCGGCTACATTCTGGGGCAGGTCGGACCGAAAGCTGCGATGACGCGAATGCGCGCCCCAAATAGATTTTACCGTAGCCAGTCTAGCCACCCATCTTCCTTTCTCCCCGGTGCGGCTAAATAAACATACAACTAACACACCATTGAAATAAAGATTACATTTGACTAAAAGCAATCACGGCTCGTATAAAGGAAGTAAAATATGCGCGCGCTCACCTGGACCCTTTTACATTGCTTCATAGAAAGGGGCTACAAAGAATATTAATACATTTTAATAAAAAACTATTTAATTTTTATTGTTTTTTATTTCCAAAACGGTGTTCGTACTTACCTCCATTCACAAAGTTGGAACAAAATATCGATTATATTAAATTACATTAAAACTACTTTATCAACATTAAAAACATACCTTATATCTCAAAAATAATAATTTACTAACAAACATGAAGTGCTCAGAATTGGCATCAGAAATATAACATCATTAAGTTTGGTTCACAATGAAGATTTGGTCTTCACATAAAAATAAATTAGAAAAACCTTCAGTGCAACATATTGAATACATCACAAAACATCCAATTGAATACAGAACAAGCTAAACGTTTTTGTACCAATGATAGCATTTTCGTTCATTTAATTTATGATCGTGTAATGTGATATTTCAATAATTATTCATTTATGTTTAAAACACATCACATATTTTATGTCTTAATCCGTGAAGTACCAATGAGAGCTACATCTATCTTATTACTTAGTCCACATGAGTTTAAGAGTCACAGCAGATAACCGACAATTTGACATATATTAAATGAACACAATGATGGAACAAACAGTACTAGAAACTACATCAATTGTACATGGTCTGAGACAATTCAAGTTGGTCAAAACTGTAAGCATACTCAAAGAAAAACAAAAGGCTAGTGCAAAAATTGTACATTGCATTTTAATTAAAATAAGAGAATTGTATGCCTGCAGTAATTTAATTTTACAGTCATAAACTTAAATTTACTTAGAAATAAGCCATTACAAACACAAAAGTACCACTTTATTTCCATTGGAAATTGTTAATTTTTAATCTCTAGCATATCAACTTGCAAAAAATTAACTATATGTAATAATTTTTGTCTGCTGTATAGAAATATTAAATACAATAAATGCAATTTAATCATGTTGAAATCTTATCTTTAACATAAAGAAATTTCTTGTAGTAAAGTTGCCGTTGACTGGGTTAAAATTTTAAGTTTTTCTTCAACTCTGAATACCTGCGACAAATATTACTTCCCTACATATATTCAAAGAACAAACTCTGAAAAAATATACAAATTATGAAAATATGGAACTCTACAAATATTTTTTAACCCATTTTAAAAAAAAGTAAATAATTTGAGTGAGGTTTAGTTATTTTATTTCATCACAAAAATAAATATAATTTTTATTATGATGGAAGTCACATTGACAATGAAAACACATATTATCTTTATGTAAAACCCCGAATTGTTGAAGCTCATCAAGTTCCATATTTTTTACATTTGTTAGGATTGTAATAAGTTGTGTAACTAAGCGTTTTACGTAATTGGCTAAAACATGTGGCGTGATCGTACTAGCTGGCGCGCTTGTTTTCTGCGGGTGGCCGTGAATTGTTCGCCGGTGGAGGCGGTTGGTACTTGGGAACTGGAAACAGGGGCCGAGGCTCTATTGACGACACGCCGTCGAATCTGGAAGGAATATCCAATAAATAGAATACAAATACAAAAAAAGCATAATCCTATGTGTGAATATTATGAGGTTCAACAAAATATTAATTAACTAGCTTTCCGCCTTTCCGGCTTCGCTCGCGTTAAAGCCCTTAAAAAACTATGTAAATTTTTAAAAGAAAGATATTTTCAACCGTTTACAACACTTTTTTCCAATAAAAAAATAGCCTATGTCCTTTCTCAGGCTCTAGACTATCTGTGTACCAAATTTCATTTAAATTGGTTCAGTAGTTACGGCGTGAAAACGAGACAGACAGACAGAGTTACTTTCGCATTTATGTTGCATTTGTATTGGTACTAACAGTTTATTTGTAATTATTCAAGTGGCTTTATTTACAAAAAATTACGAATCGATTGAAAAGTAAGTAAGTAAATATATATGAATTGCTTTAAAAGTAAAGATTGATGAAATCTCATATTCAGCAGCTAATGAAACCTATAATAATATTCTAGAAGACAATAGACAGCAAGTAAAAAGTAAATGAATGATAAAAATAATAAAAAAAAGTAATAAAAATAATACATTGAGATTTGTCTGTCTTATCATGTCATAAAACATTTGAGGATGTTCAGTTATAGAAAGATTTAACTAATCATTTACAAACATTTGTATAGTATTTGTATTTCCTAGGTAAGTTAACAATACATAGAAAATGTTTTTATAGTACAGTATTAAAGCTTAAAACAAATTAAAAGAAGCACTAAAAAGGACTTGTTCTTAACATAAAAATATTACTAAATGACTTAGGTTGAGATGAACTTATACCTTCAACACGGATATAGCAAATAAAGTAAAAGTGAAAGGGCAAAGTGTGCCTAAAGATATACAAACAATCTAAACTATTATACTCACTTGTTACTCTTATATTTGTCAGGTATAGCGTGGTAGGGTAGTTGTGAGGCATGTGCATGTGTGCGTGCTTGTTCACGTAGGCAAGGCTCCAGGTCAGCTAAAGAATAGCCTGAGCAATGGGCCAGCGCAGGTGGCCAGGCGGTCAAACTGCATTTGGTAAGGAGCCGAGATTCCGTATTTTTATCGTCACACGACTCGCAAAGAAGGCAATGACGAGCTGTTGCTAGGGCACAAGCAGCTATGATTGATGGTTTATATTGAAGATATGGATCTGCTTCCAAGAGACAAAGCTCTGCAATGTACTGAAATGTGTTTAAATATACATAAGTAAAAAAATGAATAACACAATAAAACATCATATTTTTTCCTTATTTCAAATTTATATAGTTACTTAAGACGATAACTATTATATTTTTTAGTAGGTGACCAACAGATGCAATTCAATTGCAATTACAGGTATATTCTTAACAGTTAAGAGGATGGACTATAGTTGCCTCGCACATAACATTTATAAACACTTCTGCTTTACCAAAATCTTCAAAGTAATGGTACTTCCTACACGGTGTGGCTAATCCATGTAATAGCAGACACTGCTACAAGGGTTTACAATGATAATATTTTAACTTGTATGATAACATAAAGTAAGGAATATGATTTTAGACCATAACATAACTGTACTAACTACTGAATTCATAAAAGTAGAATCTGCCTGCAAATATTACAATAGTGGAGGTACACAGTTGTGAGTTTGACCCCTCATGACTCATAAATACTGACACTGAGTCTGGGTATACTGTGCATTCAAAATGTAAATGAAGTCTCTCGCAACACACTAGTATTTTCTTATTGCGGGAAGCATTAGACAGCAAATTTTTTTTTAATTATCTTTTTATTTTTATTACTTACTGCTGCCAAGTGGAAGGTCTTCTTAGAGAGTCCATTAGAGATACAATAGTGAGAGAGAAAAGCGTGAGATGTTGGTGTGGAGAGATCAAATGAGAGCACTTTTAAAATAAGGTGCTCCATTCGCAGCACTTCACACTTTTTGTATGTGTCATCTGTGATGTAAACAAACTCGGACACCTCAGGTGGGAACACCTCTTCATATTTCCTGTAAATGAGACAATATATTGTGAAATTTTTGCAGAAATATTACCTTGAATTTTGTACCACTAATTAGGGCTTGCCAAATCCCATCATTAAGTATTGATGTAGGTGGTAAACACTCATTAGGTGTTGCTGACACTGACTTAATCAGGAAGACAGTAAAATTATTAAAGGACCAAAAGATAGGCACATCAATTAATTATTTTTCTTAAAGTTATATAATATTAGCTGCTTCCCGCGACTACGTCTGCGTAGAGTGAAAATTTAGGGTTGTATGTATTTTTGTATGCTGTATCATAAAAAAATAAAAACAAAAAATTTTGTCGAAAAATGTTAAGGGTGAACAACCCTTATCACTTAGGGGTATGAAAAATAGATAGTAGCCGATTCTCAGACCTACTGAATATGCATATAAAATTTGGTAAAAATCAGTAAAGCCATTTTCGAGGAGTAAGGTAACTAACACGAGAATTTTATATATAAGATATAATTTATTCAATATGAAAACCCTCAAAGTCCAATATCACAATAAAGATAGAAAAATGTTCAGTGCAATTGATATTGCAGAAGTTGATGCACTGTACCAAAACTAACGATAAAAAGAAAGAAATAGTATATTAGAAAGTAAAAAAAAGAAGGTCTTTCGGATGAAAATAAATAGGTTTAAAGATTTAAAAAGTATTTGTAATATTGATATAAGGTCCACAAAAACCCAAATCAGAGAGTATTAACAGTTGCTCTGGACAGGACTAATTAACTTGAAAAAAGCCTAAATAAAATTAAAATGTCTTGGGCTTAAGATGTATAAAATATACATATGTACACAACTTACGCGGCGATGTATGTAGCAGCTGTGCCAACTAGTTGAAGTTTGGTGCGCACAACACTCATGTAGGAGAGGAACCGATCAACATAGGATACGGCCAAATGCAGTGTTTCACTCTGCAGCCCATATTCATCACACACCTCCACCAGCCAATCAATCAGGATTGATCGCATCATGTGTGTTATATCTGGCTGCTTGCGCATGTAACGTGGATTGGCTCTGTTTTTAACCTAATTTGAAGTAAAACATTCAATTTTATATAATATACATTTTTAGGTGTTATATTAGATTCTAAAACTAAATCATCTGGTATGCACCACCTTAATTATGTTAGCAAGAAGTGTGAAAAAGTGTGTTAATATTATAAATTACATTTCTGGTTTCCAATGTGGTTCTCATCCATACAATATACAGCGTGTCTTTACACTCGCGACTATAAATTAACACATATCTAGGGGATAACATTTTAAAATTGTTTTAAACATTTACATTCTTTAAACATCAATATTTACAGAGTTATCAAATTTTCCAAAACAAAGAATTTTAGAACACGCTTACATATAAAACTATAACGTAAAGTTCATTTCTCAAGGTCACAAAGCATATGTATGGGTTGAATGAATTTAAAAGAGACAAAACATACTGTTAGAAGGAGAGGCTTGTAATGCGACGTTGTGGCGCGAGTTGTATAGGATGTTACAAATTTTGTTTCTTTTTTACTTAATTAGTTTGTTTGAAAAATATTTTTTTTTAATTATGGATTTTGTTTAACGTTAATATTTTTTTATGATTATTGGCAAGTAGAGCGTTAGACGTGTGTTCATTTATTGTCGCGATGGTAACGACACGCAGTATAGATAATGCCATTGTTTGATCAGAGTTTGATTAAAATAAATTTTTGTTGAAACCTTATAATAAAAACACATAAAAATCAGTTTTCTGTGCTTCATTACTGGTGCCATGAAATGCTCTTCTAATTTGATGTTACAAGTTAAATGTGTACCCTAAAGGCCCATTTACACGGTGCAAGTTTCTTGCCTGTTGTATACAATTAAATTGAAGCAATAAATGAGTTGCATTGTCTAAACAGCACATAACATTCTTGACTGTTGAACAAGACTTGCTTCAAGTTTTGTTTCAAAACTTTCCTTGGTGTAAACAGCACACACAATAATTTCTTAAGCAATTCTTGTATTCAATTGCATTCTCTCTTCCTTTGCAAAAATGAGTGTAATGAGTGAGGCTATTTAATCGTTGCTGTTCTTTTGAGGCAAGAAATATTGAGAAAAGGTCGTAAAAAAAGTTGGATAAAAATATGAATAATAATATATGGATCATAATAAATAAATCTCAATGAAATATATTGAATCGGCATAATCTAACTTGAACACTTATTATTGAGCCATTTTTTTAAAAAAACAGCCCTTTGTAAAACGTTCAACACTTGCATGAAAAATTTGTCAACGCAAATACGTGCAATACTTGAAGCAACACGCCAATAAATTGTACACGCACATACAAGCATGTGTTTAGACAAGTCAAAACTTGAAAGCAATAATCGCCTAAATATTATTGCATTGGTGTAAACAAAAGACATTTGCAATTATTTCTTGTCAAGACTTGCATTCAATAATCGCATTCAATTTTTTTTTACTATATCTGCGTGTAAACTGTTGCTTACAATTCTTGATGGTCAATTATTGCGTGCAACTTATTGCATTCAATTATTGCTCTTGTATGTACAAGAAAATGGCATCCTGTAAATGGGCCTTAACCGTTCTCTTAAACTATTAAACACCTTAAACCACCTTAAAACACCTTAAAACACCTTCTAAAAACCTTACTTTATTTATTGCAGTATTTCTACTTTGACTATTAGCAAGTACTGCTCATTTCAGGAAACATAAGGAATCCCTATGTTTCATCAATAGGAAACTAAATTTTGCGGTTGACTTAAGGCCCATTTACACAATGCCATTTTCTTGTACATACAAGAGCAATAATTGAATGCAATAACTGGCGCGCAATAATTGACCATCAAGAATTGTAAGCAACAGTTTACACGCAGATATAGTTAAAAAAATTGAATGCGATTATTGAATGCAAGTCTTGACAAGAAATAATTGCAAATGTCTTTTGTTTACACCAATGCAATTATGTTTAGGCGATTATTGCTTTCAAGTATTGACTTTTCTAAACACATGCTTGTATGTCCGTGTACAATTTATTGGCGTGTTGCTTCAAGTATTGCACGTATTTGCGTTGACAAATATTTCATTCAAGTGTTGAACGTTTTGAAAAGGGCTGTTTATTAAAAAAAATGGGTTAATAATAAGTGTTCAAGTTAGATTATGCAGATTTAATATATTTCATTGAGATTTATTTATCATTATCCATTATTATCCATATATTATCATTCATTTTTTTGTCCAAAATTTTTTTTTTTATTTAAAATTTATTGTTTACACCTCAATTTATGGCTAAACAAAAGGCAAACTTAATGCTAATTTTTACGACCTTTTCTCAATATTTCTTGCCTCAAAAGAACACCAACGATTAAACACCCTCACTCATCGCACTCATTTTTGCAATGGAAGAGAAAATGCAATCCAATACAAGAATTGCTTAAGAAATTATTGAGTGTGCTGTTTACACCAAGGAAAGTTTTGAAACAAAACTTGAAGCAAGTCTTGTTCAACAGTCAAGAATGTTATATGTTGTTTAGACCATGCAACTCATTTATTAAACTGGTACCATGTAAAAGGGCCTTTACTCTATACACATATGCCTTAAAATTGACTGTAAATGTAAATGTGGGTGCTGCTGTCTGGATACATTATATAACTATAATGAATTTCAAATGTCATAAAATAATAATCTTTATTTTGTGGAAGAGTAATTGTTTAGTTGGAAGCTGTACCTTATGCTTAATTTCATCATCTATATAGACCTATAATTTACTCTCATTCACATAGTTATTTATATTTTAAAAGTCCCATTTCATTCTAAGAAAAGATTTTCTTAACACCCTAAATTAAACAAGCACTGTTTAATTGCTATTGTACTACCATTATAAATTACTACATCAATTATTATAGGTTGGCCATGTGCGTCTCTAGTGTTTTTGTCTAAACTACATATCTAAAATACTTCTTGTGTGAATGACTAACATGGTGTTTCGTTACTTTGTTTATAATTGGTATGCAACTGTAATTTATTTAAGTAAGTAATTAAACAGTGTCATGTCCCAAAACAATCTCAAAATTCTAAGTTATTGGCAAAATCACTGATGTATCAGTGGAGCCATAGTATGAAAAAAGTTAAGGAGGGTAGATTTGAAACAAGCAACAATTATTCTTATTCATATAATATTTTTAAATAATAAACCTTTTTTTATGTTTTGTTTCTTTTTACTTTTGTTCCTTTACTGAAACATCAGAAAATTTGCTAATAACTTACAACAATGTAAGACAGCAACATGTTGAATAACATAATGAGGTTTAGGGGGATAATAATATTATTTTATGAGTTTAAAAAGTTACAAAGGCATTTTGGAAAAAACTTCTTAAAAATATATAAATAGGTAAACTTTTTTATTAAAGACATTAAAAAAAACATGCAGATTCAAAATATCAAAATGTATAAAATTTTGCCTGTGATGAAAAAAAACTTGTGACCTTACTGTGTTTACCATGAGACAAATAATAAGCTTTGTGAATTCCTGTAAATATTAATTCATGTGCTCTTCTGAAAAATAACTGCTGGACTCAGTAGCCGATACTGAAACCTATAGGTGTTACAATGAATGTATAATTAATTATACTTACCTCAATCTCTCTCATATACTCATAAATGTCTTGGCGATATTCAACAACATGGAAAAACATCTCTCTATCAGTTTGTGCAGTGGTGGCATCCTCATCTTCTAGGTGTTCATCAAGAATCTGGCTCTCATTTTTTGATATAGACATTGACAGGACACTTGAGTCAACTATAGACATTGGTGATTCTATCACCTCTTTCTTTTGTTGAACTACATCTTTCTTCTCTTGCAGTGGAGGCCTAAATCAAAGCGCATTAGGTGGCAGGGTTCAGATTGATAATGAGTACAATGTACACTAATGTAAAGGGCCTATTATAATTTTGTAGAATACATTGAGGACAAGGATGTGTGGAAATGACTCTGCACTTGCAAGGCCCCTGGCTACTGCTAATTTTATACTTAAATACTTTTGTATTCCTTTATATACAAAAAAAACGATAAGACAGCAGTTTCTAGTTCTTTTCTAAACAGGTCTAGTTTAGTGAACCAGTGGTAATGTTCAATAAGAGCTTAAAATAAGCCTTTAAATTTGACTTTGACTTTGAATGAGACAAACAAGTCATTATGTATATATCAGGATGGTGTGCTGAACAGCTTTTCAATTATCAAATTAATTAACAAAAATCATTAAAATCGAGAAAGGTTGTTGTTTGCATAACCCAAGCTATAATGATTACTGAAAATCAAGCTCAATGTCAATGTGTTTCTTACAGATACAAACATATTGAGGTAACTAGATAACAATTTCTTTTTTTAAATTTGACTACCTACCATTGAATTTTTAGCTTCAGTAGATGAACTGAAGAGACATGAACATTGAACAAAGCTTTTGTATTCTTACCATACCATACATGTTTTATAATACAACAATCCTGAAATAATTTACAAAATATGTATGATAATGAAAATAACCTAAAACATATTTTTTTAAACTTCTAGCATGTTTAATTGCGTAAAATATGATAGAACTCCGCGTTTATACTATAAAATAAAATCTAATTATAAATTTTAAAATTACCTTGCAGAAGAGGTTTCCTTAGACCGATCTGGGTGTTTTTCTTGGTCCTTAACATTCTGTGAAGAGTTTACAAAGAAATTATCTTTTCTAATCTCTTTAGCAACGAACGGTTTAAATGTTGGCTCTCGTTTTTTCACTTCCGCTTGCTCAGAGGGCTTGTCTTCATAAACGCTAAACGCGCGAAATTGGGCCACAGGTGGTACGATATTCTTCTCATTTTTGATTTGACGAACTGTCCTATTCTCATCTTGAGCTTTGCACGCTCCGTTCGCCAAGCCAGGCTGAAAAAATAGAAGATAATTAAAAGCTTACCACAACACGTAATCAACAAGCATTGTGAACAACTTACGAGTTTGTTCCGGTTTTGATTACAGGTAAATTGACTGAGATCGCCCAGAGCACGTCGTTGGGCGTTTGTGGTGAAGAGTTCAGCGTCTTTCCTTATTCCCAATGCAGCATTTTCTTGATCTTCGTGTATTCTAAATGATGCCATTGCACCCGCTTAGCCCGTAAACACTATAGGGTATAACCAGATCGGTTCAAATCGCGGGTCGCGAATGGTTAAATTGCGTGCCTAAGCGGAAATACTTGTATAACTATCAAATCACGAGTACATTTTATTAAATATAGAGTGTACAATAGAAAAATGATGCGAGAAATTCAAAATCACCCCCAAAAAACGCTATGAAGCGTCAACGGACAACAGACATTTTGGCGATTTCAGCTGTTGCAGTTTACGTTACTCTATTGTCTATTCTAATTTAAATTCCGACCAATAATAAACCACGAAATATTTTCTTCTCTATGCCTAAAAATACAGTTAAAAATAATAAAATAAATGAAATGGCCATTGTAAAGTGTAAAATGGCCACAATTTAAAAGTAACCAAACCGTAAACGGAATTCTAATAAGTTGGAGAAAAAGTTTCTTCGCATTTTATATGAAAATTCAAAACATTTTTTAATAAAATTTATTTGTATTTAACTTAAGTATGTAGGTGCCATTTTGTTCTTTCTACTATCATGTAGGTAGGGACATGATCCCATTGCTAAAGAAATTCTGGGGCTTCTGATCAAAAAACCGCGATAAGTGTTTTTGGCAGTCCCCTCGTAATGTTAACCTGACACAGCCTAAAGAATTCTGAAGAGACCGAAACAAGTAGAAATCTGAGGGTATATTGCAAACTTATAAGTCGCTGCAAGATATTATTGCAATACTTGGTATGGATGAACTATCTGATGAAGATAAAATTATTGTTGATAGAGCTCGTAAAATTCAGAAGTTTCTTTCTCAACCTTTTCATTGCAAGGTCAGGACTATACGGCGGATGCATTAACACCTCGCAGTCAAACTCTCTTAATTTTTTCTGAGTGGCTAAACAAGTGTGAGGTCTAGCGTTATCATGATGAAAAATCAACCCCTTCTGTTGATTAATTTCGGCCACTTTCTCTCAACTTCTTGCAATAATCTGATGAGTTGTTCCTAGTAGAGTTCAAAATCAATGGTCTTGCCTGGCGGTAACAGCTCACAATGAATAATGTCCTTCCAATCCCACCATACACACAGCATTACCTTGTTGCGAGATAACCCGGGTTTTGCCAGAGTGTAGAGCCTGACCAGCCTTTCACCACGACTTTTTTCGCACTTTCTTGTCGTACGTGATCCACTTTTCATCACCAGTTATGAAGGTTTTCAAAAATGGTTCGGATTCATTACGCCGTAATAAAGAATCACAAGTGAGTACACGGTTCATTAGGTTTCTTTCAGTGAGCTGATGAGGCTCCTAAATATCGAGCTTTTTCGTGTACCCAGCTTTTTTCAAATGCGCCAAAACTGTTTTGTGGTCAATTCCCAGTTCTTCAGCTATATCGAAACTATTGGTATATCATATCGATCTTGCTCTACTTTTTCAAAAATGGCATCCATTTTATCCGTAACAGGGCGCCCAGAGCGAGGTGCATCTTTGACATCAAAATTTTAAAATGTATCGAATTTCTTCATTAGAATCACTCATCTTAACAGTAAGAAAAACAAATGAAAATCAAACATTTTCCTAATTTGAATTTGGAATTATCTTTTTTTTTTAATTTAAACTTTTTAATAATACCAAAACCAGCCAGATACAAATGGATTATTTTTACAAGTACATACATATTATTTGCGAAAAAAGTTATCTAAATAATAAAGGAATCTTCCAATTGCTTTATTTATCTTGTAAAATTGTGAATTTAATTGTGATTGTAATGTGAAAATTTGATGTATTTCTAATTTTATTAACTTAACTTTAATTTTTTTTTTATTTATTACATATTTCAGAAAGGAAGTTACTTTATGGAAATGAGCTCCACGAACCGAACGGACACCCAGTTTTCAAAGCTCTTCCGAATGAAAGTTTTAAGCAATTATAATTTTAAGGTTTTTTAATTTTTTTTTTCTGATGACTAGGTAAGTGAGTGAGTGATTATTAGCGCGAGAAGTAACTATTACGTCCCGAGGCTTTTCGCAACCTCGCTTGAATCTCCGAAGACACCCTGCGTAACTAAAATAATGTTTGGTGCTTGTTCTTCGGTGGGTGACAGATTTTAAATTCTCTAAACATAATTATGCAGTCCACTGAACAAGGAAACTTAATAATAATCAGTCAATTCTCAGACTTCATCAAACTGCCGCATTCCAAGCATGATCATCCCAGGCGGGTTTGACAATCGTGACCCGTGATACTAACCCCCAAGTCCGAGTTTCAAGCCTTATCCGGATGATGTTGGAATGGATGGTATCATCCTTGTGATGCGTGAAAGGAGCAGTAAAAGGAAAAGTGAGCTGAGAAGCCTTCCGCGATGATCATTTATCAGAAAGAACCTTTAATTTATCAGAATAAGCAGATGTGCTGAATCATTTCTGGGATTCTAAGGCTAGGCCTTTAATGACCGGTCCACTGACATTTCTCAAACGGTAGACGACCACAGGGATCTTATAGAGTGGCTATCAAAAGGCAAATGTCCTTCCACACTTACACAATTAAGAATGAGTGTTTCCAGCACGTCGTCATTTAGCACACCCCGAAGAAGTTGGATACGGACTCCTTTAAGGAGGAACTTGCGGCGTAAGGCCTCCCAATCCTCAATGTTATCTATGCCCTATTTATGTTAAAAATGGCCATACAACATGGTTTTGTGTTACCTCCCCTTCTTCGAAAAGGAAATATAGAAGCGTTACAGGGATATTAACGGTCAAATCACTAATAATATTTTATTCGCTAAATGTGGGCAACAATTTCCTTGCGTAGTAATCATGGCATGTATTATCAATTTGAATTTAAGTTCTGTTATAGGGATAGAATTACATTGAATTACGGTACGTCAAAAGGTTCGAACTCGTGCGAGTAATGTTCTGTGGTTCAAATTCAAACTGTAGCGTGTCGATTGTCGACCCACTGCTACAAAAAGTATATCGATATTTATCGTTTCCACAATTATCGAGTAAAAAATATCGGTATATCGCCATTTTTTCACAACTATTTATATCCAATACTTATCTTCCTATCCTATAACATTTCGATTCGTTAAAATCGTACAAATAAATAACAGAAAAAAAAAGGAATGCAGAGTTATAATTAATACATAACTAGCGACCCTCCCCGTCTTCGCACTATGAGTTTTATTATTTAACGGCTATATTGGAACGGAGCAGCTGATGTCTCAAGGCGAGCTTGATCAAATTTTTATAATGATGGAAGTGTAAAGACTGTGTGATGACTTATATCCTCGTTGCAGCACTTTTATTTTTATTTGCTTATTAAATATGAAAGTAGAGTTGAGTTAAAACTATATCGAACTTCACACGAATAAGATATTCCAAAACATATATCAATTTATGGCGGTTTAAAATATCGATTATATGTGTCTATAAATTTAATTAAAAATCGATATTTACACATGTCAATGATTAACTTTAACAATTGACAGTACTCTGTGCAATTGAATTGACAATTTGACATTGACAATTGACAAGTCAAATGCCAAATGTAATAAAAAAATGTTTTAGATCTTAATAAATTTTAAGAAAGTTCGCCTAAAGTATTTATTAATTATTATTTATTTATTTACATTGAAAAAAAAAAAGCGGAGATGATAGAAATAAAAAAAGTGATTTTTTTTACGTTTTGTATATTGTGTTTTATGTGTGATAGTTGCTTAACAATAAGAGAATATAGTAAGGAAGATATTCTTAAACTTCGGTAATTAGAATTAGACATACACTATAAAATTAATGATTAGTACACTATAATGAAACCTAATATACCTAAATTACAGAGAAGAAGTCCGCGAAATGTTTCAACATGCATATGATAGTTATCTACGATATGCGTACCCTTATGATGAATTAAGGCCCCTCAGTTGTGATGGAGTGGACACATGGGGCAGTTACTCACTCACCTTAATCGATGCACTTGATACGCTCGCTATAATGGGCAATTACACAGAGTTTAATAGAGTTGTAAACTTAGTTCTACAAAAAGAGAACTTTGACACTGACATTAATGTATCTGTTTTTGAAACTAATATTAGAATTATTGGAGGATTGTTAAGTGCTCACTTATTATCTCATAGGTAAGTTAAAAAAAACGGCCAAGTGCAAGTTAGACTCACGCATGAACAGTGGTTCTGTACATTATCTATAAAAACAATAAAAAATCCTCTGGTTTTCAACACAAAACCACTGTATTTCTGTCTACTTATGGGATGAATGTTCTGTCTACTTATGATATAGAAACACTATTTTTTTTTTCATTTTCAATATAATATATATTGTTATAAACAAACTAATAACTTTTAGGCATTGCCTTCAAACAATTTTTATCCATCTTTACTTTGTTAAGGACAAGCTGGGATATAGAATGAGTAAAAAGGCATTCACAACTCATGTACATGTAAAGCAGCAATCACTGCAACTTAATAAATTGTCAAAAATAGAAATGTTTGGAATGACTTTCCACATTTTATTTCTTGGTTGGTTTCTTCCAGTCTCCTATTATATTGTTACGTGTTAGGGGTTCGAAGGATTTGGAGAGAAAGACCTGCTGACTCTTTTGAAGACTTTTTTCAAGCACTAGGTCCAACACAAAACACGGTTTTCGAGACTATAGTTCCACAGCAGTTCCTCTAACGCCATCTAGTGTTGAATAGGGGGTTTTATGTCGTCTTTGTTCTTTATTGGTTTTATTAGTTGACGCTAGATGGCGTTAGTTCCTTTGTGTGTTCATAACAATATTAAAATATAAGAAATTAATTTTAGTTATTTAGTTAAAAAAACATATTTTAGTTCACTTTTCATTATCATCAATTAATATAATTTGTTCATGGTCCCACAAACTAGCTATAACCAAGTTAATTGGCAGTCAATTATTTTATCAATTCTAAACCTTATTTAAATTGATCCGTCTCATAAATGGCTTATTTTATAATAGATTTATTTGATTATAGATGTTTGTGCTTTCAGTTTGTAGACTAAGAGATTCATCAGGCATTTAATGGCTTCCATCTTGTTCATTATCATTTGAGTGAACTTTCTTTGTTTTGTCAGGAAGTTATTTGTGAATATTTGCAACTCCTAAATTTATCCTGTAGCATATGTCAATCTTAAGATGGTTTAATCTTCAAACATAAAAATTTCCATCTTTTAATTGTATAAAAATCTAGATATACATACATATGTTTTATTACTAGAACGGGCTTAGAACTGGAACCGGGTTGGCCTTGTAATGGACCACTGCTGCGCCTCGCCGAAGATGTAGCACATAGACTCATTGCAGCATTTGATACCACCACTGGAATGCCTTATGGAACAATAAATTTAAGATTCGGTGTGCCCCCTGGTGAAACTAGCGTGACGTGTACTGCTGGAGTTGGCACTTTCATTGTCGAATTTGGCACCTTAAGTAGACTTACTGGAGATCCACTCTATGAAGAGGTTTGAAAATATTAAATGAATTAACCATTTGTTAAGTAAATAGGTACTCAAAAGTTAAAGGTGTGTTGAAACTAACCAATATAATGTTGATGGTTTATAACAGTTTATATTGCTTTAATTCAGGTAGCCTATAATGCATTAAAAGCCCTCTACCACCATAGATCACCAATTGGCCTCCTAGGGAACCACATTGATGTAATGACAGGTCGTTGGACTGCTCAAGATGCGGGAATTGGGGGTGGTGTGGATTCCTACTATGAATATTTAGTTAAAGGTATAAAAGAGCCTTTGATGTGTATAATTTTTGACAAAGTTGTAGATGATTTGCCATTTACTTGGGTTTAATAATAATGTTTAGATATAATGATATTGGTTCTTTTAGGAGCGATACTGTTGGAAAAGCCAGAATTAATGTCAATGTTCAAAGAAGCTAGAGAGGTGATAGACAAATATTTGAAGAAAGATGATTGGTTTGTTTGGGCAACTATGTTAAGGGGACATGTTACTTTACCTGTCTTTCAGTCTCTTGAATCATACTGGCCGGGACTTCTTAGCTTGATTGGTAGGTAATTTTAATGATGTAAATAAAAATTCAAAGTAAATTGTATGGTGGCTTTAACTTTCCTTCTATATTCATTATGGCAGTGGTTAATAATTGTACAGAATAATTTTTTTTTACAGGTGAAACTGACACAGCTATGCGTATAATACACAATTATCACAGTGTTTGGAAACAGTATGGTTTCACCCCTGAGGTGTATAATCTAGGTACCGGTGAGGCTTCTTCTTCACGCGAGAGTTATCCCCTGCGGCCGGAGCTCATTGAGTCAATCATGTACCTCTACAGAGAAACCAGAGACCCAATATTGCTTCAAATGGGTGAAGATATTCTCAGAAGTATACAGCACAGCGCTCGAACTCAATGTGGTTACGCAACGGTATGTTCCGTTTTTATGCTAACTCTTGCTATGTAATTTTTATGTACAACCTCATTTATATAAAACACACTGTCTTTCTGTTCTATGTCTATTTTTCCGCAAAAACGACCTCACAAGCATACAGCTAGTTCCAAAGCACCTATTATGCTCAGGAAGTGACATTCCAATTAACATTATTTTTTTCTTAGTAAGTATGTTCCTTACTTTAAGCATTTTCTGACAAAATTTAACTTTAGTTACAATCTTCACTTTTTAGGGTTCCATACCCAAAGGGTACAACGGGAGATTACTAAGACTGCTGTCCGTTTGTCATCAGGCTGTATCTCGTGAACCTAATAATTATACAGTTGAAATTTTCACAGATGATGTATTTCTGTTGCTGCTATAGCAAAAAATACTCAAAAATATTTAAGTCGGTCCCGTACAACACACATCATATTTTTGCCGTTTTTATAGATTTTAATATGTTTATTAAAAAGTAAATCTAAAACTATGCTTTTCCTGGACATTCAGTGTCATTATATTGGTTTCGAGGCTCGTTTTCGATGCTTAAATCAGTGCTAATGTGTTTTATTGATTATTATGTGTGTTATTTATGATTTTATTTCTAATTTTTTGGGCTCTTGTAAATTGCACACCTTTTTTGGTATCATTTTTGTTTAAACCAGTTAAGTTATAAATTAATTTTCGCTAAAAAGGCACGAGAATAGCTATTATAAAAGACAATCGCCAAAAACTGAGTAAAACGACTGAAGCGGTACCTCCGCCCATTCGCCACATCTCCGACGCGATTACTCTACACCGTACATGGACTCGCAACTTGTTTTATTACAATTATTATAACATAGTTTAATGCTTGTAATGTATCAATAATTTTAATTTATATGTATCATTGAAGTCCTCATTTTAGTTTATTTCTTTTTTATTTTCGAATTTTTTTAAATAATTCGTGCAATTTAATTGCAGATAAAAGATGTTCGCGATCACCGTAAAGAGGATCGAATGGAATCTTTCTTCTTGGCCGAAACGACGAAATATTTGTATTTGCTTTTCGATCCTGACAACTTCATCCACAACCCCGGTGTACATGGAACTGTTATAAACACCCCTAACGGCGAATGTATTGTCGATGTGGGCGGTTATATTTTCAATACGGAGGCCCATCCCATAGATCCAACGATGCTATATTGCTGCCATGAGTCCAGGCAGGGGTGAGTTTTTTTCGTAGAAACTGTGACTCAGCATTTTTTTAAACTTTATTATCACTACTAATAGCGTCTTGTCGTCGGATTTGCATTATTGTAATGAGAAAATTGGCTGCATTTCGCATTTAAGTTTTGGTTTGCCATGCATAACCCTAATATCTAGCAAACTCACCTTGGTATGTTTTATATACTGTGATAAGCTTAGCAGAAACTATCCATTCTGATCTTGTATTCTTAAATAAAATTCATAAAAAAAATCTTTGATATTTAGTTGAATGGTTTCTATTTAAAATAATAACCACACTATTTTCGCAGCATCAACATAAGCGAAGTACATAGAATATATCAAATATTGGAAGAAGAGGACAACATCCAGTTTATGACGATGATCGATGCTTCTGTTAACAAAACTGTGAATAACACTTCAATGAATGATAACAAAGAAACATTTGTTAATGACAGTTTGCCCCCTGTGGTAAATCAATCGAATGAAATTTCCGAAGACGAAAAGAAAAAGTCGGAAAAAGACGAGTTAATAAAAACTGAGTCGAAGACAGGTTACGTAAATATAGATGGCACGGAAATAGAGAAAACAAAAAATGAGACGATCTTGAGCGATATTGTCAAGGAAAGGATAAACACATATTACGAAAAGGTAAACGTGAAAGGCGAGCAAGAAGTTGAAAAGTTTTATCCGCGTAAAGAAAATGAAAATAAAGTCGCAATAGACGACATCATTGTTATTCAAAGCTCTCAGGAGGCGGAAAATGTACAAGTTCCTAGCACCACGAAAGCTAAAGAGTCATTGAAAATGTTGCCCAAGGTCATTCAAGAATTTTTAAACAGCGACTGGAAGTCCAAACAGAAATGCGAGCCTCAATACATGTTAGAGCGTATACGTAAAGAAAAGAAATATCCAGAACATCCGGACGTTCATAAATACCAGCTGTTGTTAACGCCAGCGCCATCTTTCTTGCAAAGGATATCGTTGGCCGGTGAATTCCTTAATAAAAAACAGTTGGAACTATGAATACTTGTAGCAATGTGTCGTAAAAAAATTTGAGTGGATAAACAGTGTAGTGTATTAGTAATTTTATTTTATTGTTACTTCGTGGTTATTTTGTTAAGAGTTAAATAAAAGACTGAATTTTAACGCAAGTGATTGATTATATTTTCACATTACTTTCTCTGTTTAAATAAAGTCGGCTTTTAAAAGTTCGTTATGTGAGACAATAAAGTGTTAGTTCGAGAAGTTACTTTAGAGAAGGTTGCAAAAGAGGTCTCACTTGATGCTTCAATGACCGCCATCGCCCATCACATTCGTAATACATGAAGGCTTGCAGACGCATTGCTAATCTGTCCTAAAAATAATCTGTGGGTCTCGAATTTGTATTGATTCGTAAATAGCACCGGCGACGATTGTTTACACTAGTTCCCAGCACAAAATCTTAAGTATCAAACATGCGATACTGGATCTATTCAAAGCAGTTAGTAGGACGAACATAAAGAGGGTATTTTGCTATTTAACCGTCGATGAGAAACATTTGGAGGATAATTTTAAAGTGGTGGGGTCATGCTGCAGCTTCTACTGATCCACGAATGGATGCAAAGGCAGGTTAATCCGGGGAAGTACCACGGCCATATGGAGTGGCAACTGATGAGTGAGGTAACAGGGGACCACTTTTTTAAAAGGTGGCAAAGCATCTACAGCTCCACGGATGCTGTAGCAAATGTCAATGGGCCGGAGGTTACTACTTCAACATCAGGTGAATCGCCATCTCGTTTGCCACATTCTCATATATAAAAAAACAAGCCAAGTGCGAGACGGACTAGCGACGAAGGGTTCCGTACCATTATCTATAAAAATGGCAAAAAATAATGTCGGTTGTATGGGAGCCCCACTTAAATATGTTTTATTCTGTTTTTTAGTATTTGTTGTTATAGCGGCAACAGAAACATCTGTGAAAATTTCAAATGTCTATCACGGTTCATGAGATATAGCCTGGTGACAGACGGGCAGACAGACAGCGGAGTCTTAGTCTTAGTAATAATTTTACCCTTTGGGTTCGGATGCCGTACGCCGTAAGAGCCGTGATAGCTCAGTGTCCGGGCGCTCGCCTTAATTCAATATACTCGAGCAACCTGAGTTCGATCCCCGGTGCCGGCACCAATGAAGTTTTTAACTTTAAGTGCTGACTTATCACGTGCTCCGCGGTGAAGGAAAACATCGTGAGGAAACCTGCATATTTTCGAAATAATGACAAAAAAAAATATTTTTTCGAAGATATGTGAAGTCCGCCAATCCGCAGTGGGGCCGCGTGGTGGACTATGCCCTGATACCCTCTGTACAGAGGAGGCCTTTGCCCAGCAGTGGAACATGTATAGGCTGTTACTTTACTTTTTTACTTTTTTTTTGGGTTCGGAACCCTACAAACACTTGCAAGTGTATGAAAATTGTATTCGATTCCGAAAAAAGACTGCGATTATTTTATTAGATAATAACAAAGGTATTTTTGAATGACAAAATAAAAGCAAGAATTAAACGTTCTCGTTATTAACAGTGTGCTTGGGTTCGTGGTTTATATTTTTTCGCAAGAAGAATATATGTGACGACTGTCAAAGTCAAACGTTTGTCACACCCTCGAGCAAAATGTAAAGAAATCTAAAATTTATTAATTTTCACCCCAAAAAAACTCAAAATGTATTTACACCTATTCCGTACATATTCGACATCGAATTCGGTAGCCGTTTTAGAAAATAGCTTTATACGGGTATGCCCGTCTCTTGATTTTGTAATATTCTTATCATGACTGAATTGAAATCGAGTGCATCTGAAGAAAACACTTTGGCTTCTAAAGGTTATAAGCTTCTGAAATTTTTAGGCGAAGGTGCTTACGCTAAGGTTGGCTTTACCGTATTACAACGAGTATTTTATTTATTTATAGTTATTTGAAAATTATTATTGACTTTAATTGTCTTTAATCAAAAGTTCAATAAATATTTTCGACACTGAGTATTTAAGTGAGCAGTGTTCATCAAAAAAAATTTCAGTGCCTGGACTGGAAAAGGCATCTAAGTTTATAAGCACTTTTTTCTTGTAAAAGAAAAAAAAATAATTGAGTTTTTCTAACGTGTAAATTTTGTTAGGTCTAATGTAATTAATGCAAACCTAAATATAATCATATATAAACATATTTATGTTCACAGGTTTACCTAACTGAATATTTGAAGGACGAAACTAATAAAGTATCCCTTGCATGTAAGGTTATCGAAACCGCTAAAGCTCCGAAAGATTTCGTCGTTAAGTTTTTACCGCGAGAAATAGACGTTCTCATAAGACTGAATCATCCTCATTTGATTCATGTACACAGCATCTTTCAAAGGAAAACTAAGTATTACATTTTCATGAGATATTCAGAGAATGGTGATCTTTTGGGGTACATTCTGAAAAACGGGTGCGTCTCGGAGAATCAGTCGCGGGTCTGGTTGCGTCAACTGGCTTTAGGACTGCAGTATTTACACGAATTGGAAATCACGCATAGAGATATAAAATCGGAGAACGTTCTCTTAACGGCCAACTTTAATGTGAAACTCTCCGATTTCGGCTTTTCACGATTCTGCATCGACGATGAAGATCAGCCAATTCTGAGTGAGACCTACTGTGGTTCTATGTCGTACGCTGCGCCGGAGATTTTGCGCGGCAAACCCTATTTGCCAAAACCAACGGACCTGTGGTCATTGGGAGTAGTACTTTTTGTTATGCTGAATAAGTCAATGCCGTTTGATGACACTCGTATGAAAAAGTTATATGAGCAGCAAATGGGAAAGAAGTACAGGTTCAGGTCACGCGTTGCAAGTGTACTATCGCTGGAGTGCAAGTCGGTGGTTAAACACCTCCTAGAACCAGATCCTGGACTCCGTTATACGGCAAATCAAGTTTTGAAGTCGGAATGGATTGCTATGGACAGTAGGCTAATTGGTGAGTTCTGTTCAGTAACTGGGAAAAACCAAAAACGTTGGTATTTTCGTAATCTGCGTAGTGTATATTAAATCAACTTTATATATAGTAATAAATGATTTCATAATATATTTCACAGCTTTAAACGCTGTAGAGGAAGCTGCATTGAACCGGGCTAGAGAAGGACGTAGGCGACTTTCAGAAATACGTAGAAATCCACCAAAGAGACACGGTGACATTTGGGAGGAAAATCAGAGACATTCTTCATATAGAGTAAAAGCCTTTTAACATAAACTGATATTATAGCATCCTACGCACGCAATTTACTGTATTTATTTTTAGGCCAGTGAAATGATAAAGTCTTTAGCGAGCATTACAGCTAAACAAAAGAGGTAATAAATGGAGGATAAATCTAAGGTAGGAATTATGTTTAAACTTTCCAAATATTTTTGATATAGGATATACTTTGCTGCAATTTGCACGATAATTCAAACTTTAAACAACTTTTATTAGCTGTTGGAAAATGGTTTACGACTTTCGGGATCTGAACAATTGACATTGGCGAGTCGTGGATATAAAATTATAAAGAAAATTAACGAAGGATCATATGCAAAGGTACAGCTTTCTTATGAGTTATAATTAAATTACAGATTCCTTTCAACTTTGAAATATTTTAGGTATACCTTTCGGAGTACAGAAATCCTAACAAGACCGACAAAGCTATTATACTTGCCTGTAAAGTGATTGACACCAATACAGCTCCAAAAGATTTTGTTAAGAAATTTCTTCCTAGAGAAATTGATATGTTAATAAAGTTGAACCATCCACATCTTGTGCACACTCATAGCATATTTCAGAGAAGATATAAATATTTTATTTTCCTACGGTTCATGGAACATGGGGACTTGCTAGAATACATATTACAAAATGGCGCAGTGCAAGAGGACCAAGCCAGAATCTGGACCAGACAATTGTCTCTCGCAATACAGTACATGCATGAACTAGAGATTGCGCATAGGGATATCAAATGCGAAAATGTTCTGCTGACCTCGAATAAGAATGCAAAATTATCGGACTTTGGTTTTGCGCGCACGTGCGTCGACAAAAAAATGAAGTACGTTCACAGCGAAACTTTCTGCGGGTCCCTGTCTTATACCGCGCCAGAAATCCTGCACGGTTGTCCCTACTACCCTAAGCCGACGGACATTTGGTCCCTTGGTGTTGTTGTGTACGTAATGTTGAATCGGGCGATGCCCTTCGAAGACAAGCACATTAAGCAGCTGCACCAAGCGCAAGTGAGCAGAAATTGGAGATTTAGATCGCGATACGTAGACACTCTTTCGGATAATTGTAAGCGTCTTGTAACGTTGATGCTAGAGCCCAATTACCAGAACAGAATAAAAGTCGACAAAATTATAAGCAGCGAATGGATTGCAATGGATTCCAGATTGCTAGGTACCGTGTTATATTTATTTATATTTTAATGTGAAACATCTAATACGTATGGTCAGACCGACTTTTAGCGATCCACAGATCAATTTCCAGATCTGGGCGTTTGATTCCCAAGGAGGGTGGACGTCAGGCAAGCGGCGGGTCGTAAAATTCATAGCCAAAACTGCTTACAACATGATTTAGGTTGACAAGGGCAGGAGGATGATTATGATGATATTAAATAAAAAATAATCTTTTTCTTGAAATAAATCTGAATATTTTGACTATGCCGTATCTAATTCGTTTCATAAACTATATCCTGTTTATTTGTACAAAATAATTTCAATATTTCACATCTGCTAGGCGCTCGCGATGGCTCACTTTTTTTAAAGATTTGATTATGAGGCTTTTATGAGGGATAAACTACCTGTCTACCAATGGGGGCTTGCATGTAGTTTATCTTTTTTAATATGAAAAGTTGGCGAGCAAGTAGTAGTAGTAAGTTTCACCTGACGATTACCGCCGTCCATGGATATATACATCAACCGACGGATTGCAGATTAAAACAACGGTCCCCGGTTGCGACGCCCACTAGACGAAACGCGAATGTATAATACTCGCACTTCAAGCTGGCTTTCTGTGAGGCCGTCGTATTTTTCCGGACGACCTCCCCATCCATGCAACAATAGTAGCTGCTACGTGACACCACCAGATTATTGTTTTGCATTGGATACTATAAATATTTGTGTGTAGAATGGACACCGCAAGAAACACTGGCTTTCAAAAAGGCTAGAGAAGAGAGAAGTCACCTTCAGAAGAAGTTGGAATCGGCGGAGTTGATAAAATTGGAGAGGGACACGTGCTTTCCAGAGAAGTCCATTGTAAACAATTCAATCGATATCACTGGGTCTAACTCTTCTTGGTATGAAAAAAAAATCTATTAAATTCTTAATCAAATAAACATATTTTTATGCTATAAGTATTTGCTATTATATATTTTATGCTATATAATTGCTATCCTAAACGGCATCATCTATCTTAGACATGAAAACTTAGATTATGGAATTAAAAGGGGTCGAGTTCCTTTTTATTAGGGTTCCGACTTTCGTACCCAAAGGGTAAAATGGGACCGTATTACTAAGGCTCCGCTGTTTGTTTGTCTGTCACCAGGCTGTATCTCATGAACTGTTGAATTTGAAATTTTCACAGATGATGTATTTCTGTTGCCGCTATAACAAAAAATATTAAAAAACAATAAAAAATATTTAAGTGGTGCTCCAATACAACAGATCTGATTGTTTTGCCGTTTTTATAGATAATGGTACGGTATGTAGCGTACCGCCGGAAGAAAACGCTTAAAAGAAAAGTTTTTTTTCTTTATTAAAACAAATAAATTGGTTTAAGGAAAGTCGTAACTTGTTTTCAGACTATTTGAAGATGATTCGAAGAATGAAACAGCGCCGTAAGAATTTTATCTCAAAAGAGATTTTAGTAAAAAACATTAACTGTTTGTTCCTTTTCTAATATATAACTATATTGTAATTTTGCATAAAATATTTTGCTATCAGATTTTGTTTAATTTATTACTGAAAATGTCTTATATTGTTATTATTATTTTATGGAATCAAGGGAATCGATAAAAAAAAAATATGATCAAGTAACCTACCTACTCGATAAGTTTTGCGTTTAGTAATAAATTATTCCAAAAGTTCATCATGAAGGTTTGAACTTTTGCTCATTAAAGTTTAACGAAATATGTATATGTATAAAATGACATTTGACAACAAAATAAAATATGTTGCATCGTTTTAAAATTATATTAATAATGTTGTTTCCATAATCAGTAACTGAATAAAGGCAAAGTGTAACAGGAAAAATTACTCAATTTAAAAATGCATTTCATTAAAGTTAAAAACAAATCATTATGAGGGTTAATCACAAATGGGGCGGGCCAATGAGAAATTGGAACTTACAACGACGCCATCCGATTTGCATGCACTAGAGGAAAAAGGGTTTATTTTGGAAAAGATGATCGGCGAAGGGTCTTATGCTAAGGTATGCCGCTTTCTAAAATGACAGAGACAAATAAGTTATCATGATATTACGTACGGTAACTGTATATATTTTAGGTGTATTTCTAGGTTTTTAAATCGACGCAAATGATCGATGAGACTAGACACAGCGTTTTGGCATGCAAAGTCATAGACACAGCGCAAGCCCCACGCGATTATTTGACGAAATTTTTGCCGCGCGAACTGGACGTACTTATACGGATCAATCACCCGCATGTTATACACGTGTCTCACATTTTCCAGCGACGTGCTAAGTACTTTGTGTTCCTGCGCTTCGCCGAGAATGGAGACTTGTTAGATTTTTTATCGCAGCATGGCGCTCTCCCCGAGAATCAGAGCAGGCTCTGGATGAGGCAGATATTGTCGGGAATGCAGTACATACACTCGATGGACGTCGCGCATAGAGATTTGAAATGCGAGAATATTTTGATAACGTCTAACTATAATGTGAAGATAACCGATTTCGGCTTCGCTAGAAATGTGAGGCAGAGAGATCGTGACCTCCTGAGTGAGACGTACTGTGGCTCCCTTTCCTATGCAGCGCCGGAGGTATTGAAGGGTATACCGTACTTGCCTAAACTCGCTGATATGTGGTCTATTGGAATAATTATGTACACAATGCTAAATAAAGCGCTCCCTTTCAACGAAACATCTGTTAAGAAACTGTACGAAAAGCAGGTGATGTTTAACAATATATGTATATATATATTAAGGTTGATTCTTAAATTATCTTTTACATGTAGGATTTATTACATTTGTTTAACTACCAATATAATATGATATAGTTCGAAAACTAAGTACATAAAATCTGTCATATAATTATTACCCCCACTCGTCAACAACATAGTTATCATACAAGACCGATTAGTTCCTCTTCGCCTAAGAGACGGCGAAACTAAGACAGCACGTCAAACCTACGTTCCAGGCGGTTCTCACCGTCCCCATCCACCGATTAATATAGTCAACAGCCATCCGAGTCATGAACCTTGATGGCCCGTGGAGGGCATTCCTCCCTAATAAGATAACGCACACATGAACACATGCGCGGCTCTCTCAATGTGGACGGCCGTAACAAGCTCATGGGTTCTGGATAGCCCACGAGTTCTGCATTCGATGAAGCTTTAATAGTGTACGGACTAAAAGCAGAAACATGGAAAAGTCAAAAATTACTAATAACATAATTACTATATAACAGCTTGTCTACTTCCCTTCACCGGTTTCACCATGTTTTCAACTGTTTTGTATTCATAATAGGTTCATTGAGAGCACTAACAAACAAACATTTGTTTGTGTGAAAAGTACGCCTAAAACGCAAGACTGTGGGCCAGCGTTAGACTTACTAGGTATGGATGTCGAATATGGGTACAAAATTTTCAATACTCGACGTGTAATCCTCTCGAATACACGTCGGTCGATGAGGACCATGGTTAAACTGCGACTGCAGGGCTAATGATACGATAAATTCGGTGAAATGAAATCACGCGTCGGTGCAGATTCTGCGCAAGTGGCGCTTTCGCACGAACATCGTGAACCAGCTGTCCACCGAATGCAAGAAGCAAGTGACCATGTTGATGGATCCCGACGCTAAGGCGCGCCCCACCGCGAGCAGCACTGTCAGTGGCGAGTGGATCACAATGGATCCGAAGCTTGCAAGTTAATGCGCGATTCTTTCATTACGAACATATAACAGTAACACATCCGGGAAGTACACATACGCATAAGTACACTTTAATAATGTGGGCCCCGGCTACCTCACTCACCAGACGAAACGCAGAAGTGCAACACTTCTACTTTACGCCGGTCTTCTGTGAGGTCGTGGTACTTACCCGGACGGACCTGCCCATTCGTGCAACAGTGAAAACTATTACGTGACCCTACCACCGTATAAGTGTTTGCTGATATTCATATCAAAAAGTAAATATAATTATTATTACAAGTGGAAACAGCGATATGTACAATATTGAAATGAATGTCATTGTGTTGTGTGAGTGTCATTTACTTTCGATGAGATGCCAGAAAATGCAAAAGTATAATTAACTTTATTTCCCGCTGGTCTTCTGTGAGGCCGTGATACTCCTCTAGTCGAGCTCACCTATTTGTGTAACTGGAGATGTTAACTTGTTGTTACTCCAGTTTTCAAGAAATAATGGCTGCGTGGAAAGAGATTTAAACAAACTTTTGCAGACAGTGATTGTATTGCGGCCGGGTCGATTAAATGGGCTTGGAGAAACTTAAATTTGCAATATCTGTTCACCCATTACTTAAAACACATAACACTATTTTTTTGTTTCCTTTTCCCATACCGTTTAAAGCATACATAAAAATAGGTGAATTATTGTTTCAATTCTTCTCAGCTTAATGTTTAACATAATTCGCATTTTATCCGTTTTCTTACTGTAGACTATATCAGTCTGTCGTCGTATTCCAGAGCTTACGTTTTTAGAGGAATCACTTTTGAAGCAAGCGGAGGAGGAGGCGAATATGAAGGAGAGAAGCAACTACGTAGAGAGCGAGGTCGAGAGGATCGCAGAGTTGAGACGTAAGGGACGGGGGAAAGGTAAGTTTTTTATATTAACCGTAGTAAAGACACGTATATATTAACCGTAGACTGTCAAGTTTTAAATTGCTCTTCAGGTGTCTACAAATCGTGTCACCGGGAATTGTGCAATATTAATTATTACATCGATCGATTTTCGTCATTATTCCCATCATCTAAAAAATCCCTAGCGTTCATCTGTAGCTATAAGACTCTGTGATTTAACAAATCATTCATCATCAATTTCCTAACTTAGTCGATGTTAAACCATAAATACGGTTATAATAAATCGAGAACAACTTAGATTAATTTAATACATGATTATGCAATTTAAGGTTGCGCCTATAAAACTCAAAAACTTATTTCCTTTCCAGAGGGCCTCAAAGTATTGAAAGCCACCGAAGGTAGCTGCGACAAATCGCAGTCAATATTGAATCAAAAACACGGCAAATAAATACAGCAGAGGGTTTCAATTCAGTGTTTATTGAACATTTACAATGCGTACTATGTTTTTTAAGTTATTGTTGAAATTTTATTTAATACAACGTTTGACGATCTCGCCGGTGTGGTTCTTCTTCGGCACAATATTGGCACAGTTTCAGGAACAGCTTTGGCGGGTTTCTATTACAACTATAGTCCGGCGCGGAACAGGAAAAATTTCGTTCCCTGTCTACATTGTCTGTCTCTTTTGCTCTCGTGCGTAATACACGTGTGTATATTGCCGTTTACAGACGAGCAAAAGAGACGGGCGATAACAGGTTAACGTGCAAAATTCTTCCTGCTTTCGTCCGGACTTTACAATTAAAATGTCTTCGAAATACTTTGTAAAAAAATTACACTGCGAGTATACGCCCGTTGAGGGTTTCACTTTTATATTATCGGAGCGTTTGACTCAGTAATAGGGGCACACCCAGGGACGTCGATTAGCTTATATTTGAATTGAGTCCATTTATATGTCAAATGTAGTATTGTTAAAGAGTTAGTGATTGATTGCAGCTCGCTTATTAACTAATTTTATGTTTATTGCTAATTGACGACGATCGAGGTGCGCTAGTGAATTCTGTAATAAAATACATTCCGCTATTATCAACTTTATTGTAATATGTACATAAAAACATGAAAAATTGGATGAATATTCAACAATGGTAATAGTTCAGGTTATATGATTTTCTCCACTTTAGACTTTTATGAATTATCCAAAAGGGCGATATAACCTAAGATAATTTTTATAACAATTTTAAAAGCTCGTGTATTTTAGTATATTCAAATGAGCATTATGCTCGCTTTTAACACCGTTTCGTTTATTGTCTTCGCCCAATAGCGGGCCATAAACACGCTGTCAATTGTCGTACAGTCAAACGCTCCATTTACAATCAAATATTAAGGTTAAAATTTGGCGAATGCTTCGAACTATCGTAATCACCGACAGATTGGTCGATAAAAGATTACATTTCCAGGCAATATGAACCTTACGACAAATTGGATAAAGTCTATTTTACGTCGTAAATACAAGTTCTCAAATGCTAACGAGGAAAACTCGTCAAACTCAACTGCTGTCTACATCGTGTATAACAAATGTGGTATAAATTACAACAACTATAGCCTACTATGGTAAAACGTTCGCGGCAGAGTTCAGTTCAAGTATTGTCGCTCGTCAGTCATTACGCGCAGTTCAGACTGGCAATGGTTTCCGTCTCAAATATGTTTCTAATTAACACACTAATACACATTTGAAGCAACTCCACAGAGTTGCGGACTCGCAGAAGGGAACACTGAGGAATTCAGCAATTATTATTTTCTTGCCAATCTAAACGTCGCTTTATAAAACACTAAACTTTAAACTGTACTAAGTACCGTATTAAAATGTAACAACGCTATCTAGTATTTTACAATAATGTAAATATAAATATGTAAGTTAGTCATGTTACGGTATAGATAAACGTGACAATGCTTATATAATTGTTTTATGCTATCTAAAAATGGTTTTAATAGCTGTCTCAACGATCAATCTGGGCACTTGGAAATTGTTGGAATGTCTATTGTGATACATTTTGGTTTTATCGAGATGCACATTTGAGATAAGTTTACTTAAATTACGTCACTTAATAAATTATGTTCATAATTTAAATATTAATATTTCTCTTTTTAAATATAACATCGTTAGTACTTAACTATACCGATATATTTGTTACATTTGTATTTGGCAGTAACCGACAATTCAAATTCATCATTCTTCATGTAAACCCACTTTACTCAACACAACTTACATTTTATAGAATTTCCATAATTTGGAATACTCATATTATACATACAATACGCCAAAATTTAGTTTATTTGAAAATAAATGTCAACTTTCATTCAAATTACAAACTCAGCACCAACATTTGACTGTAAAACTGATTGTACAAAATAAACAATCTTACACATACTAGCTACCAAAATTTGTAACCATATATAATTTATAGTGGGCAATATGTAAAAAAAAACATTAAATGATTTCGAACTTTTTAACTCAATTTTTGAAGAGACACACATTCACAGACACGATTTATATTCCAAAGGAAAACAAAAAAGCTGCAGAAAAATACAAAATAAATATAATTTAAACAAATATACCATAAAAAATAATACCAAATAAACGCACAGTCTACAGTGCAAAGTAAGATCGCTGCGTTTTTAATACGATGTTGCCCGGTTTCGAAATAAATTTTGTACAATGAACGTTCCCGTAACACAATAGCCGAGCGCAATTGTTTTTTCGCTCACCGGCTATGATGACCAGTATTATTTATACTCTGTGACATGGATAAGACGCGCAAAACTTAGGTCTCAGTGCAGTTGGTTCCGCGTACGTATCACGTATAATGAAACAAACATTTTACAATGAAAAAATTCACCGTCTAAAGCAACAACCAAGTCCCCGCTTAACACCGAACATCAAAAAAAAATTTTTCGATCATGAAAAATTGTGAAGCAACGATAATCGCGACTGTACACTAATGTGAAGTGAGAGAGAGAGACGGAAAGAGATTTGGACTGTGGCGCGAACGAGAGGGCAATCTGCTGCACAGAGCAACTGCTCAATAACTTCGCGAGCTTGTCATTGGCATAAAGGAATATTATCATATATAATTTGAATTTTGGCATAAAGGAATATTATCATATATAATTTGAATTTTGGCATAAAGAATACTGCACAGAAACAGTAAAAAAATAACTTCGCGACCTCCGCGACTGTACCGTCGAGTGCAATGACCGAGTCACAAATAAAAATTGCACTTATACAAAATCAAATAACATGTTGTGGGGGTGAGACGGAAAGCGAATTGGCCTACGGAACGAACGAAAGGCTAAATAGAGGTTACACAAAACGGTATACAGGGCAATGACCTGGTTGAACTTTGGAGGCTGAATGCGCCCGAGTGTTGCGTGCTCTTTATCGATTTATATCACAGAGTATACACTATACTTTGTCAGAGGGCATGATACGAGTTATAGTTTGTGGCGTTTTCCCGTTGGATGTGCTAGTGCGCGCGACTGTCGTCACGCGGGGGAGAGACAGCCAACTCTACGCCCGACGCTGACTTTGCTCTCGTCGTCTGCGGATTATTACAAAATTGGATTAAGTTATTAAAACTTTAGTGAGACATTATTAATTAAATAATTAAAATCAAGCTACACACTCGTTCAATCTTTTATTTTTGTTTAAATTATTTGGTTATAATTGAAATTTAACATAAACACTCACTACCATGTCTACCTAATATCTCTATGAAAGCAGATCAATAAAACCTTTTTTTTTTGAGTATCATTAATTTTTACCTGAAATTACAAATATTTTAACTGTTATTTCTATAATTTTTCAACTCTTTCCTCTATTATAGATAATATATTATTGAATTGATAGGAACGATATTGTATACCTTTATTAGATTGACGTACAAATATTTGAAGAACTGATTAATTTAACTTATTTCCATGCTAATAGTAACAGTAACTAAAAACTAAGTAATGAAAGATAATTCCAACAGCAATGTACCTACTATAAATGAATACCCAAAACCACCAAAAAAAGCGTACGCCAAACCAAAGATGGGTATTTGTTAAATATGTTACTGGAAACAAAAACCACAAAGAGCTATTTCTACAGTGCGGAGATAATTAGAAATCAATGTGCAAAAAAAATCAAATAGTTTACCGAAAACGAAAAACATCGTCTTTTACGTAGCATCTAAAACTAAACAAAAACAAAATAAAACACAGGCCTCTTATATTTTTGAAATCGACCAAGATAATGAAATTTAACTTTGAAACTAAGAGATTATGCCGCTTTATGGTCGGCTTTATTTTTATATATAATAAACACTGCAACACAACATCATAGTGTCTCCCTTTATTACTTGAACAGGTTTGTATCTGAAAGACAATACAATTTCTCTTACCTACTACAGATTTTATGCAAGTATGTCTCGACGTCATATTTTCAACAGATATTTTCGTTCCTTTCCATATTCCTATTTAAGTTGTATTTTTTTAAATATTCGCTATGGGAGGACAATTGTAGTAGTCATATTTTCATTTTCATTTTTACATATGTATGAACAATTTCCATTCCCAGTCTCACTCAGTGGTGAGACTGTGAGCCCAGCTACGAATTGCGGTCAAACCAAAATGGCGTCGAGCTAATATTAGGTAAGGAGCACTGTTTCATAAATAGAAAGTATAATCGATTCGAAATATTCAATATCAAATATCGTTTCAATTAAGTATATATTTCAAATTCGACCTGGCACAGAGTCCGTAGGTGTCAAGTAGTTAATACTTGACATAACTTTTTTTGACGAATGTTTCTAGGAGTATATCGATATATTTTAATTATGTTTTTCTTCGATATATCGAAGACGATATTGTTATTTTTATAAATATAGATAATACATCGATATATCGATATTTTGACTGACTGCGGACATGCCTAGGGTAAATTTTTACGATTCGCGAACCACAATTTCGTGACGTTACCATGGCAACAAATATTAACTTTGATATTTATCTATAATTCCAAGTTATTTAATGAAACTGTTCGCAACGATTGCATTCAATGTACAAAAAGTACACTGGCATACGGGATAAAATTTTTAGATATTTTTCTTTTGTCACGCTAAAGAAGTATAACTTCTAACGTGCGTACAAATTCCCACACACGTTTCATTTACAAAGAGCCTGTTCTCCTTACCTCCAGCCTCAATGGATTGCTATTGCAGTAAAGCCAAAATGGCGGCGTGGGACGTCGACGATGTTCTGTCAGAACGTCTTTTCGTCCCGATCGCTCAGAGAGAGCGCGAGGGAGAGGTCCGCGGATGTCTCCACGATGTAATGCCAGTAAGTCTTCCTTCCCGCTCTCTCCGGGCGAGAGCGAGGGAGAGGATTAAAGCGGGTTAGTGTGTTAGTTCGTGCGGACTCACGGGCTGCGCGCTGTCACCTGAGGCGTCCTCGCGCAGGGGGCACACCAGCTCGCACAGCTCCAGCTCCTCCTTGCTCTTCTTTCGCTTTAGCGAGAACTGGCTCTTCTTTGGTACCTGTACAAGTGGCGGGAACGTTATGCGATTTTATATACTTTTTTAATCTAACGTGTCAGTCTAAAGGCGGAAAATTCATATATTTTAATTATTCTAATTTGCTTGTGATTTATTGTTTTTCATCTTTTTATTTCTTTTATACAGCGTGCCGTTAAAACCGCGACAATAGTTGAACACACATATTTGGGATAACTTTTTAAAATTGTATTAAACATTTTCATTCTTTAAACATCAATTTTTACCGAGTTATAAAATTTTTCAAAACAAACAATTTTAGAACACACTTACGTATAAAACTGTAACGTAAAGTTCATTTGTAAAGGTCATAAAGCATATGAATGGATTGAATGAATTTAAAAGAGATGAAACATACTGTTACAGGAGAGATTTGTAATGCGACGCTGTGGTAACGAATGAAAGTCTCTGAATGTATGAATCAGTCAGTTGTATAGGATGTTACAAATTTTGTTTCTTGTTTATTTAATTAGTTTGTTTGAAAAAAAAATTTTTTTTCAATTATGGATTTTTTAACGTTTATATATTTTTTATGATTATTGGCGTTAGACGTGTGTTCATTTTTTGTCGCGGCTATAACGACACGCTGTTTATATCAATTTCAGTTCGACTTTCGATTTCATTCTTCCTCTCTCTATTGTAATACTACAAATATTCAAATTATTAATTCAAATTATCGTTTATAAACTACAGACTTTAAAATTACCTTATATTTGGTTGTAGCAGTGAGTGGCTGATAGCCGAGTGTTTGTTCCGCGTTCCTTTTCTGCTGAATCACCTCGCGTCCCAGTAAATCGTTGAACCTGGAATCACAATTATTCCTTATCATAGAATTTTATATGGTTGGTTCATTTCTTTATTAAGGTTTATGAACATTTTTCATTAATATTAATAAACTTAAAAACAACAATAATAATGACTTTGGGTAAGTTAAAATCGGTTAGCAGAAGCATCTAGAAACAAAATGAATTTAAGAACATAAAAAACATAACCTTACGTAAACTTTAAAACTTAATCTACTAAACTGGCAAACTTATTTGCAAATATATTTATAAATTTCAATAGGCGGCGGTTATCACTTAACATCAGGTGAACCGTGAGCTCGTTAGCCATCTTTTCACATAAAAAAAACGAAAAAAAAAAAAACTGTAAAAAGCAAATGCCTTATATACCTCTGCGTGAGATGCCGCCTCAAGAGCGTCTTGTTGGCGGGAATGTTCAGCAAAGCGGCCAAAAGCTCGGCGGTGAAACGTGGCTCCAGCAACATCAGACCGCCGTGAACTCCTTACAGGTTACAAAACCACAAAATTAAAAGTAAAGTAGCAGCCTACATATATGACACTGCCGAGCAAGTACCTCCTCTGAACAAAGGGCTTTAGGGTTTAAACCACCACGGAACCCAGTGCGGATTGGCAGATTTCACATGTCAGAAATATTTTTTCTTGTTATACTCCCAAAATGCACAGGTATACTCATCAATCCGTAGCGTGACTACGAAAGCAGAGCATTCGAAAGGTAAAGAAATTTAAAATAATAAAAAATAATTCAACAATTCAAAAATGATTCAAGAGTACACATAAACAAGATAAAATCCCAAAGGTTAGAAAAATTGACTTGTACAGAATGTGTCAAGGGGTCAAAATTTACACGATATTTTTAAAAGTAAGAGTGAAATCGCCAACGGGAAACAAGACTAAATTTAATGAGGAAATACTGAAAGCCTTCATATTTTATCTGTGCCATTAACACAGGTTATTCCAAAAGAGCGCTAAAGTCTAAAGAAGGATAGTAGATAGTAATTGAGCCAAAGTTACAGCTTTGCAATGCTTTGCAATAGCAAAAGAAGTCAGTAGTGTGAGACCCACTCATGTCAGCTGAGGCAATGAGGGAACTACTGAAGTGAATAAGTGTTGAAGTCAGTGAAGTCCATATGAAACTGTTGAAATCAAAAGAGTTAATGCGTGAGCAACTGAAGTCAGTAAAGTCAATAAGGGAGCTACTAAAATTAATGAGTTTAACGTGGGAGCACTCGAAGTCAAGAGAAAGTCAAAAGAGCCAGCATGAGAGCAGTAGCTCTTCTTCATTAGAAGACAGCATTGCCAATTTGGAGGCTACTGTTTTCATTGATGTCATTATGGGAGCTACTGAAATCAATGGAGTCAATGTGGGAGATACTGCGGTCAGTGTCAATCTGTATGACCATCGAATTTCTTTGTCCAGCTAAAATTGTACGTGTACTCCCTGGCTAAGAGATATCTGGGCTACCGTCGCCTGTTGATTTGGTTCGTCGTCCTTTTCTCTTTTATGACACGCAACCTTACCGAACACTTCTGTGCATGGATATTAAGGATATTTGTTTGAAAGTCAGCGGGTGCCAGTCGGACGTACCCGCTCCGCTTAGGTTGGGCGCGTATGTGGCGAGGTCTATAAGGATATTTCTTTGAGATGGAAGTGGGAGCCAGTCGGACGTACCCGCTCCGCGCAGGTTGGGCGCGTATGTGGCGAGGTCTATAAGGATATTTCTTTGAGATGGAAGTGGGAGCCAGTCGGACGTACCCGCTCCGCGCAGGTTGGGCGCGTATGTGGCGAGGTCTATAAGGATATTTCTTTGAGATGGAAGTGGGAGCCAGTCGGACGTACCCGCTCCGCTTAGATTGGGCGCGTATGTGGCCAGGTCTATAAGGATATTTCTTTGAGATGGAAGTGAGAGCCAGTCGGACGTACCCGCTCCGCGCAGGTTGGGCGCGTACTCGGCGAGGTCAATCTCCTTGAGCCACTGCATCACCCGGTGGGAGGACCAGCGCGCCAGCTCGCTCGGGGGCGGCCGCTCGCCCTCCGCCTCGCCGTCGCCGCTCGCCGGCGGCGCCTCGCCCTCCGCCGCGCGGCGGATCATCGTCTCCGCGTTGAACTGGTTCTCGCGCAGCACCTGGATGCCTGCAGAGGGTGGAACGGTTGCCGGAGCGCTTTCGGCTGTGCTGCCGGACCGGGCAACTTGAGGCACTTCCAGGGCCTAAACGGCACCGTCGATGATTGTTTTTTTATTTTATGTGAGAAGGTGGCAAGCGAGCTGGCGGTTCACCTGATGTTAAGTGATAACCACCGTTGTTGCAGATGCGTTGCCACCTTTCACCTTTTAAAAAAACCGGGCCCCCGCTACCTCGCGCACCAGACGAAACGCGGAAGTTATAACACTTCCACTTCACGCCGGTTTTCTGGTAGTGTAACAATGAAATCTTGCGTAGCCCTAACCACAGTTACACCTATGAAGTAATTTGAAAGAAAAACCCACTTTGAAAAGTGGCTAGTGAAGAGGCGAAGAGGCTTCACCTGATGTTCTATGACCACGTGGGCACAGGAACATTAACAAAACCTGAGGAGTAGTAGATGCGTTGCCAATCTTTAAAAAGTGGGCCCTGGTCACCCCACTTTCCAGACGAGACACGAAAATATAATACTTTCACTTCATGCGGTCTCCGTACGCGCGTGCCTGATCGTGTTACTCGGAACTCGAACAGGCTGAAATGATGTTGATAATTGAAAATGAAAATACCCCGCCGTATGGAGAGCGCGTGCAGCGCGTGCGTGACGCGCAGGTGCGCGTGCAGCTCTGCGTGCGAGAGGCGGTGCAGCAGGCGGCCGTCGAGCGCCGCGTCCGCCGCCGCGCCCCGCGCCCCGCACACGCCCACGTCCTCCAGCCAGCGCAGCGCCCAAGCGCTGTCCAGCCGCCCGGCGGCCGTCAGCAGCGGGTCGCCGTGCCCGCCCTGGAAACGGGGCGGCGCTGTCGCGTTAGCACCTACGCCTCTGACAGCGTCGTGAAGCGCTCGATTGCTCGATTCACGGATTACAAAAGCAGATGATCTTCTGTCTTTATTAATACGGGCTAGTGTGAGGGTGAGGGCCGACTCTCGAAATGGAGTTGTTCTACAGTCACCACGGAAGTTATTTGTATTTTAGACGTCTGCCTCAGTAAATCATTTAGTATTGACATAAAGGATATGTTCGTAGTTGTTCTCTAAATTATATGTATCGCGTTAAAAAGCTATGAATCGCAAAAAACAGCAGGTGGGTAAGCTGTATCTTAAAATATTTTAAGTTTCTAAGAACCAATTTTACATCTTCACAATAGCCAGGAGTTGGAGGGTTCAAAACCCCCCTCAGAATGTTTAAAATTTTAGAATAAAATTTAATGAACATATTTTTTTTAATTACTTTGTCAACTTTTGTCACGTAAACGGACTTTATTTAGGTAATTTAATAAAAAAATTAAATACTGTTTTTTATATTACTTAGTCTTATTTCTCACGTTACAAAACATGGTTTTCAATGTTACTGCAATTGTATGCACATTTTATTTTATTCTTTTGAACCACCGAAGCTAAAATCTGGCTACATTCGTGATCTTTACAATAGCTGAGGTATATACTTTGAAACCAAAAATCAGTACTTATCAACAGCGTAGCGAAGTCAGAGAGAGGATAATAAAAACGGACGAACCATGAGATCGGTGATGGCTAAGACGATTTTCTTCTTGTGCATGGGGTGTTTTATGGCCAGTTCCTTCTCGATTGTGGCCGGCGAGGCGTTGGCGATGACTCCCCTAGACGTCGCTACCGGCGCGGCTGAGAGCCAAGCCCTGGCCGCGGCCACGTAGACCTCCAGATCCAGGCTTTCCAGCCATCCGCACGTCGTCTCGCAATCCCATTCGCGGATGTCGGTCGTTTGCCTGAAAAGATCCGTATTTCCTTGCGATCGACTGGAAAGAGCCGCCGAATTATTGCGTATATCTCATGGAATAGTGAGAGAGGACTCATTCTTCGAAGGGACCCGTCAGTACACTGTACGTCTTTCATTCTCTGCGGAATATAGTTAATTTAGTAGATATTCCGAATAATAGAGAAAATGTAGTCTATATCATGCTGCTTATAACATGTAAAACTGGTCGGTCTAATCAAACCTACAAAAAATCAATATACAATATATCGCATAAAAGATTTATTTTTTATGTGAAAAGTTTCGAAGCGAGCAGACGGTTCATCTGATGTTAAGTGAATACCGCCACCCATGGACTTCTGCTACACCCGAGGGTTCCAGATGCGTTGACAACCTTTTGAAAATTGGGCTCCGGCCACCTCACTCACCAGACGAAACGCGAAAACATTATACTTCCACTTCACGCCGATCTTCTGTGAGGTCGTACTTACCCGGACGAGCCTGCCCACTCGTGCAACTGCCGAGGCTGCTGCGTGGCCATGCCACCGTGAAAATTGAAAAGATTCAATGTCAACGTTTTCCCCGAACGCGTCAAAAGAAATTGTGACTTAAAAAAAAGAAAAAAAATCTAGATCTACACCGACCAGGGCATCGCCTGGGCGCGGTGTCGCGGCGCCGAGGCCCGCAGCGAGCCGCGCGCCAGCTCGTCGCCCTCGAGCCGCACGCCGCCGCTGCCGAGCCGCGCGCGCACCTCCCGCAGCGACGGCGACGGACTGCCGCGCGCCGCCGTCTCGTCCTTCTCCGCTGTTGGCGATGTGTATTTTGCTTTTTTATTCGTTTCCAGCCCGTCCGATAGTCTAGAAGGTTTTTTTTTTAATTCATTTTTGTTTATGCCTTTGGACGTTACCCCGCTGCCTCGTGAAATAATAATGCATACGGGTTTTTTTTTATTTATTCTTAATGGAGAGTCTACACAGGTTTTTTTATTTTCCATTGTACATTTGAAACTAATTAAATGATAAATCATCGGCCTTTTTTTAATATTCTTAATGGCTTCATACGTTTCTAATCAGACTCCTTAGCTAAGCATATGCTTTAAGTAAAAAAAAAAAATAAGTTTCCTGTAATAGTTTAACATGCTGGATGAAAAGAACATTTCATCCCCTATCTCTAGTTAATTTGTCCAGTTAGGGTTATAGATCGAGAGTGATTTTTAAGTTAAAAAATTATATGAATGCGTTACAAAGTGAAAGTGCTCCTTTTAAGGCAAACTCAAAAAAACAATTAACATAATTAAACGTAATTTTCTTTTGTAAATAAATACATATTACAAATATATGAACACCCAGACATCAGAAAATAACTATGTATATTTTCCAGTAGTGTGGATTAAACCCATACCCTCTGTCGCATGAGACGGTCACTATCCACTACGCCAATTGGATCGCCAAACATGCGGCACATTTGACATCAATCATTGAGTTGGTGATTCGACATTAACAGCAGCTTTTTAATGTGTTTCGTTTTTAGATATTTGATAGACATATTTATCATGTCCAGGTTTATAGTCAGTTTCTTTCATCGCATTTTATTTTAGTAAAATCGACGAAATATTCTCTTTTATATTATTGCACATTCAAAAGTCTTCATGACTTAAAGACCAACGTATTTCTTTATAGAAATCCTGCTATTGCAGCATGGTAATATTATATTATTAACACAATATTTTTTTATGATTTAATATCAATTTAAATTAATTCCTACATGTAGTAAAGCGACACATAAATTACTACAACATACAAATAAACATCACTTATAGGACAAGGTGATATTTATCACATTATTTTATCGATATTAAGTCACAAACATGCAGCCACATGCAACAAATATTTACTACGTATGTTTAAAAAATAAATATTAAAAATACACATATTAAACATATAGTTAGTATACAACAAAATACTTACAACATTTAAGCAGGAAACATGCGGCAAGAATACCTTAGAGGAAGCGTGAAGAACTTTGCAATTGGACAGAAAGCAAAAATTGTTAGCATTTTGATTAAACATAAAAATTAACACATGCGGGGGCGCGGACATAAGGTACGTAAGAATTAAACATAAATAAATTAACAAAAATATGCAGAAATATTTTAAGTTTTCTTATAAGGATAAAAATCATACTTGAGTTTTCTATTTCAAGAAATTAGCGATAGAAAACAAATTAAAATTAATTGTCTATGGGCTTTCTTCTACAAAATAATAGAAGGATAAGTGAGCTCGACTTTTAAGCCCAATTTTCTATTTCAGTATAAGAAAAAAATTTAAAAAGCTATCATTCAAACAGGCCACTATTAAATTGCAAAGCGACGAGTAAAATGTTTGTCCCTGTTGTGTTGATCACATTATTAGGGAGCGGGCAATAAGCGGCCTTGTGTCCTGAACAATAAAGGGCGCTATCGCTTGCATGCTCGTAGTGTTGTCCCCCGGACCTAGATTTGGCACCGAGTGTCCGCGGCCGCGCGCCACCACCATGTTGTTCTGTTTACCGAACGCCACGCGCGCCTCTGACGTCACCACGGAGGAGCGCGGCAGCGACGAGTAGAGGTGCGTGTTACGCTCGATCTGCCGCCCGTAGTTCGCTGGCGGCGTCTGCGTTCGATATTTAAATTTTAAATCGGAATAAACTTTACATTGAATTATTATTATCGTTATTAGTACAAACTAAAACGAGCCTCTTTAGGTATAGAGGTGTAGAGGGGGAAGATTTAGCGCATGTCTTCAAAGCATACCTTCGTGCAACCGCCCTTGGCCCATACGGTGTCCTGAAGAGAAAATCGCCTAGCTGTATCGCCTCGATGTAATACATTTTTCAGAAAGCAGATCATTTGTAAATATACTTTTGTTTTAGATAGGTTAGCATTTGTTTATTTGTTTTTCTTTTATCAGGGCACTGTATGCTGCCAACTTTTATGTATTTGGGTGGTGAACCAGTGGAAGCGGTGAACGGGTAGTCTTGCTGTGGAGCGTGCCGCGCGAATTTCGCTGAGGCGACACGCGACTTTCATTATCATCTATAAGTAGTCGGATGCTATCGATAGTGCATTACTACAATTTCCGCAGACGCTGTTATACGTGGCTTTTGATCGTATACGCTTGAATATGTATGCAAAAGCGTTGATTTTCACGAGATGAAAAGTATTCTGAACGTCATCTTTTACATTGCGGCGTGAAGGGAAAAGGAGAAATTCAATACAGATTTTTGAATGTACAATACATGCTACTAGTTTCCCATAACATTTATTATGAGATTTGGAAGCGTAAATAGCCACCAGATACACATACTCTTGGCGGTGCTGGCCGCGGTAACGGCGCCGCGTCCGGTGGCGGAGAACGTTCCAGAACGCCTCGCTCCACCACTCGGAGCCTGACTTCGCTGAGTTTCGACAACAGCTCCAGCTTCTGTGTCTCAAGGGACGACCGTTGAAGCATCTCCTGTAAATCAATGTTTTAAAAAAAAATAGGGACACCAAGAGCATTAAATGCATACTAGTTGTTGATATGTGCGAAATTTTTGCACAGATCAACGAGTCGAACTTGTACGTCGAGGGTTCCATAAATGCCCATTATAACGCCATAATAAAATTATCAAATAAATAATCACCACCGATTTTCTCAGGAACGGGCGGACCTAACAAGTTGAAATTCATACCAGATACTGAGGTCTATAGTTCGTATTAGGTGTAATTGTGTAAATATCAAGGTCCTGACTCAACACGATAAAAAGAGATGAGCAAATTCAGATTTTTGTATTTTACTTTAATAGTATGGATAGACTAAGAGTTTGTAATAGTTGTGGATTACAGTTGTAAAACAATATTTGAAATCGTTTGTATGCTGTAAAGGATGTAACAAAAGATGTGTCACGAATTGTTAAAAAAACAACGTCGATAGTGATTTTCGTCGGTTTAGCAATCAGCCGTTTAGCTTAGTGGTTAAAGCGTCTGAAGTAGGTTCGATTTCAGCAGCGGCGAAAAATTTTTGAACCTTTTTTTTTTTTTACAAATTTTTATGTTGTTTGATATATACATAACGGAGTAGTCACAATGTGAGTGCGTCCTTTCAACCTGTTAAATTTGAAGCATCGTGTCAAAAATAATTCTTCGTGTATTTAAAATGTAAGTATGCGTATCGATTTTAGGTAAACACAATATGGTTAAAGGTGGATTTAATAAATTTTACGTATTCGACATATCTTAAATTCACCTAGGAGAATACACGTAATAACAAGATTCTTCTGAACAACGTAAAATGTTTGAGCTTACAAGGTCTGCTATTTCGGCATATATTGTTTAGGCTGGTAGAAAACTATCGCAGGAATTTTCTCGATAACATCGTTACATACTTTGTATGAAGGAGGATAGAGGTCGTGTCCTGCTCGGCATATCGCCAAAATGGACGTAAAGTATGGACTTTACGAGCAATATGAGCTTTAAACGGCGGCATAAATACTAGCCGTTCCGTGCGTTGTGGATAAAAAAAGTAAACTTAAAATTAAATAAAAAAATAAAATTTGATTGTTCTCTTCATCTCAATGGTTTACTCTATATCTCTATCCACAGTATACAGTAATGAATGTTTGTCCCAAATAGTAAGTAGTGTATAATACTAAGCCAGAACTCCTATAGTGATGACACTAATGACAAGACCGAGCCCTACAGAAATTTGTACAATATCTCAGTGGCATAGATTTGGTTTTCATATTTCCAAAAATTCATTAGTTGTTGGATAATAGTTATTATATATCGTCTAATGTTCCTCAAGAAAGACGTAATTTGAGTACTTTTGCATTTTCTCGATCTAAATGAGGTATATGCCTCTGATAGAGGGAAATGGAAGGACAGGATATGTTGTGCCAACTCCACCTGGTGTGATATAAGGGGACGAGAAAGAAGAGAAGACTTGTGCCATTGCTCTACTGAATGAAGTAACCGGGGACACTTCACTAATAGATGTCCATAGAGGGCGGTAATGAAGAAGGTAGAAACAGCCACTTTCTTAAAAATGACTGAGATTTCATATCCTTCTCCTTCTGATCAGCTCATACGCATATTACAAGAGTTTCAAAGTGAAATAATAAAGCGATACCATAACGGCATCGGCTAGTTGGATATAAACAGACAGCGGGGTAAATGTTTTGATATGTTTTTAATAAGACACTTCTCGAAGGCCGGACGTTTTAATACTTTATCAGACGTTGTACGCACGAAGTCTTATCTGGACTCGTAATAAAAAGCGTGTCTGGTGAACGTTTACGTAGGTGGCGCGATGGATCGCAGACGGACATGGCAGGGCGTAAATAGACTAAGGAATGGGAACGGCTAAAGCTATAAGTACTTAGTTCATATACACCTTCATACAATATGACCATATAGACTTTCATACCTACAGGTATTTAAGTATTTTTAGATATTTTCCGGATGTACCTTTAGTTTACTTGGTAACTGAAAAATTCACGGAACATACTTTTCTTTGGTAAATAAATAAATGTTATAAATATATAAACACCCAGATCCAGTAGCGAGGATCGAACCCACACCTGGCATAAGAGGCAGCTGCACTACGCCAATCAGGTAGCTGACAACGATAGCAGCAGAGCAACTCTGTTGCTCTAGAAGTAAGGTGAGCGTCCGTCCAGGTGAGCGTCCGTCCAGGTGAGCGTTGGGGATAAGGAATGCGTTGAATTTTTGCGTTTGAGGAGCCCCAGTAGAAATTTTTAAAGTGGCAGAGCTAAACATAAACGTCGACGATTCGCACAAGTCAAATGGAAAGAGTTGGCATTTGGGTACTTCCAGACATGAGAACAGTATTCCATGTGCGGTTGAATCTGTGTTTTATGGACATGTAAACGTTAGGTCGGCAAAAAATGCTGTCTTATTCAATTTAAAACACCAAGCTTTTTAAAAGCCAATTCTGGTTTCTTGCGTGAATTTTCCCAAGTGTCAACGTCAAGTTGTCAACGCCAAAAAATCCAATCTAATTGTTTTTGCATCGAATAAAAATCCTTTACAAACTTCTATCGTACCTATGCCGTTGTTGACTGTAGAAGGATGCTAAATCGAAAATAATCGAAATCCTTTTATAGACTTCTTACATTCTGTAGCCGATATAGCAGTTTAAATAAATGAACGGGCTGGATGGAGTCGCGGCCGCATTTAACCTCGCGGATTCTATTCCCGACAAGGCCTATAACAATAACACGGTCGAGTGCAAACCGAAGGTAACTGAGACCGATCCATTTCGAAATAACTAAGGCAAATGTAAATTACTTTAACTCTGGCGTAATTCAATTAAAATAAATTTTAAACGATAGAGAAAAATCTCTAATGAATTAATCAACAAGCAGAATTAAAGTTATTTACATTTACCATAACGATATGACACGCTCAACATGAACAGATAGATATTTTAACATTGTGTACTACACATATTTCAAGCATATATTTTTTGGTCTATTCTATGTTTCATAAATAAGACAAGGCAGTCGATTATCTTCTGTGTTTGTGAGTGACCTAGACCAGTGATTCTCAACCTTTTTTTTGTTGCGGCACATATTAAACGATTTCAAAATTTGGCGGCACACAAAGAAAAAGATAAAAATTATTTACTTACTACAACACACTGCATAAATAGTTTATGATAAAAATTTTAAATATACGAAATAAACTAATATATATACAATAATAACTAAACGTTTATTAAGGGATTAATTACAAGCTAATAATAAAAATATTTTTAATGCGAATTTTGAGCTTGATGTTTTTTGATAATTTCATTTATATTTGGTCGTAAAAATGACAATGCTACTCTCATAATATCGTCTTCTACATTTAACAATCTTGATCTTTTTTTAGTTTTAATGTTGGCTAATGCCAAAAAATAGTTTTCTTCTTAAATGATATAATTTAATAATATTAACATTATTATATATTTGCAAAATTTGGCGGCACACTTTTGAAATTTGGCGGCACACAAAAGTGCCGCGGCACAGTGGTTGAGAATCACTGACCTAGACAATGCTGTCATAGTGATATTGAAAGACCTTATTGTTTGATTATGTTATTAAATTGTGTGCCTTTATGCCTTACATCTTCGAGTTATGGAATAATATGATTGAAATTGCCTAATTCATATCTCAAGCAATCGCCTACAATATCGCATTTCAGGTAGGATCTTTCGTAATTCGTAGTACAATTTCCACTTTAATTTTCCAATAACGATAAGCGATCCTTTTTCATGAAAAAAGTATTTGTTTTTGTTAAACATTACCTTTAATGTAGAATTATATTTTCTTGTGATGCTTTTATGTGGGGCTTTTTACAAACAAAAATGTTATATCTATAAACACCTAGATCTAAGATTTATTATTCACACAAATATTTATCCTGAGTGGGAATCAAAGCCGGCGCCGATGGCTGTGCCAAATGAACCATAACATTAATTCATTCCGAATTTACCCCCATCGTATACAACCAAATACTACCAAGCAAATAACTTCTAATCTTCACTTATAGAATATTTTGTTTTCTATAATATTATTTTAGAGTGCATGCGTTGCTTATTATTTTTTATATCTCCATTCAATTTGAAAATCTCCCAAAGTATGAGACTAAAATACCATTATCCCCCATATCCCGCTGCGCGTTGTCGAAATAAAAAAGGACAAAAATCCCATTCCATTATTTTAGGCCGTTTGGGTGGAAAGAGCAAAAAAACTTTAGAGGGATAGAGAGGATTACAGGGCTGAATAAATCTCAAGGGATTACGCAAAAAAAGTAATATTAGGTGCCCGAAACCTTCGAAATCAGCATCGTCTAACTGTCCTTAACGACAACAACGGATAATAATTTCATAAATTAGGTAAGCTAATTCATTAGAACTTATTTAAACACAAACAACATTATTCAGAGACTTAAATTAGCCCATAATTACAATTATATTGTAATTGGAACTAAGTTTTAATAGTTAAGTTCCAATTGCAGTTCCAAGCGCGGCCTTTACAATGTTCGCCTCCTAATGTGTGCTAAATAAAAGCTAATATAAAATCTGTTATCTAAATAAAAGCTAATATAAAATCTGTTGAAAAGCGTTTTTAAATTGTTCATAAACGCAAAAATAAACGCTATAACATAAAATTTTTACGTGCACGGCTGGCACGAGTTTTCGCAGCGAGCAAGACTAGGCGAGTGACATAGATAACAACAATGTACGAGCAATCAGCACCAATTCACAGAATATTCGCGTCCACGGCACACGCTTACATCCATAACCCACTCCCGCATTGTATCCTTAGCAACGAAGATATTTCCTGGCCCACATACGAGAAAATATCAACACTAAATGTCCACGGGGCGTGCTGGTCGCAGTACATATGAGTTGAATGTACTTCATTTCATGAAGGCTCGTCGTAAAGTTTGAATCAATTTGAGAACCCTACAGAAAATAACCTCATTTCTAAGTCACAGTGGGTAAATATCGGTACTCAGCCCCATAATTGTATTTCGGATTCTCCTAAAATATATTGATATTCTAAATTGTACTGAGCGAAAATAACATTAGTTTAACAATATTTTAGCGCGATGAGGATATCGGCCGCTAAGCTTAATTTCTAAAGCGTTTGGAAGCTTGATCCGGAAGGCTCAGGTTCGAATACTGGCAGCAGCAAAAAAGTTTTCGACAATATTATACACATTTAAAATTCCATCTTAAGTGCAGAGTTATATACCTAGATACTTGACCGTTCAAGTACTTTGACTTTCGCGAGACTACGTCTCAAATATTTTAAGAAAAGGCACAAAATAGTAGGAGAGGACAATACCAAGTATGCAGACACATATTATTTACTCTCACTACTAAATACCGATATTACCTAACTGAGGGAGTCGGCGACAATTATGACATAATTACATAATACAGACATAATTATGACGACCGGCAAACATTATCACAAATATATTAAATAAAATATTTTTGAATCGGTTTAACTCCCATCTAGTCAATAGACCTTGGGCTCCGGAGATAAATCAGAGAACTCCTCAAAATCAAATAGAAAGTAGATAGTCAGTGAGATATTTGAATTCGGTTTTGTTAATAAAAATGTGGTTGTGCCTTAAGATGTTTGCCGGTGCCTATAATGTAGTGTCACAAACGAGAGTTTCCTCTGCTTCCTTCATTTAGCAGATGAAAGAGACCACAGTCGAGTCGTGACACCGGGTGTTGGGCGGCCCACACCAATCATGTTTATTCAATGAACGCGCTGTCAGAACGTAGGCCGTTTTGAATGCTAAATAACTAACAACTCGCGTTCGCCAATTTGACGAGGATAACGGGACGCAGAAGAAATTGTTGCTCATCCAATTGAAAGCACTCGTGGCCGTGACGTATAGGGCTTTGTATAAATAACAGGATGGCGTTTGTTATCGGGCAGCCTTGAGCTGCGTTGAATCTGGCTTTTAATAATTGATCGCACGTCTATAGGTCATAGGTGTTGAATTAAATTACGTGTGGAAAAAAATATAACGTAACAGTCAATTGTTAGACTGTGATAAAACATATTTCCCGCCTAAGTCAGGGTTGATAAAAAGGTTACGGCGTCACTAGACAATTCCTAAACTAAGGTAAAACGAGTTTCATTTCACTTACGAGTACATCTGCAATCCATTCTAATGTAGTAGAACGCTTTATAATCACGTTCCTATTAACTTTCACGGAGAAACAGTATAACTTAAAAATACAAATTAGGGCAAACACGTTTAAAATACCAATTGGAGGGACAAACAACGTAGAACCAAATCGACGCCGCCGATAACGCCTCAGTTCAAGCATGATACCCTTCCACACGATTATATCAAGGAAATATTTTTATGAATTCATTCACCCTAAACCTGGAGTGTATGCATCAATGACGTAAAAATCAATAAGAACACAAAATAAACACTTATCACAAAATTTATCTTAAAAGTGATATTTCAGATTTAACTGATAATTTTGACAGAATCTGGCACTGCATTGCATATAGAAGTCCTCTGGCTGCAGCTTTTCTCATAATTTTTTTTTAATACCTTTTAAGAAATAGATAACAAGTTCGCACAATTACTTGTCGGTTCTTCTCTGGACAGGCCTATTTTTGATAAAGAAATTTTGTCTGATTGACTTTGAATCTAAGACGTTAGTAGGCGGTTAACTTGATGTTAAGTGATAATCTTCAACACCAGAAGGGAAGCGGAGGCGTAGCTAAAATTTTAAAATGGCCCCGGTTACCTCACACACCAGACGCAACGCGAAAGTATCTACGCTTCTTTTCTTGGCCCTACCACAGTTAAATGACATCTTACCTTCTGCAATCTCTGCTCCGTGTCGTCAAGTTTCTGGCGTGTGTCGAGTAGTGATCGCTCCAGGTCGGCCATTTTCTCAGTCTGTGCCGCGATTTGCTCGGAAAGAACCTGCACTTGGAGCTGCAGACTCTCTTTATCCGCTTCCAGCCTTCGAACTCGATCTTCGGCATCGTTCTGGAATAAGAGATATTTGATGAATTTCAATCACACTGTATGCCCCGTTTACAATCATACTTTTTAAGTCTTGAAATATGGTTATGTAAAGAAATCACATCTAGTTATTTCTCATTAAGAAGAGAGTTTAAATTATGATTTATAAAATTATATAATAACGATTAGTTCAGGAGGTAGTAAAAGCTGTTAGAAAAATTTTCATACGAAAAACAGTTTATGTATGAAGTAATTTTATTTTATTAATATTTTAAGAAATTATTAAATACAAAACGCATCATAGTTTTATTCAACGATCATAAAAAGCTGTATTTTATTGTAAAAAAAGGAAAAACAACATTTGCTTATAAAATCACAGCAAACACTTAAAGTATCTTTAGTAATATGTGTTACGGACAACACACATTATTGAAGATATAAACATTAAACTATACCTCAAAAACATTTTTATCCTAAATGTAATGAATCATGTCTAACATAATTATTAGAACATCGGTAATTAATGAAAGAAATTTTCCGAAACATCAAAATGTTTTAGACGTTGTTTGCTGACGATACCGCATTCTTCTTGGCTTTTAAATTTTAATTGGAAAATAAAAAAATGCTAAAAACGGGATATAAAATTCAAACAAGAAATATCTATTTATGTTAAGGATATAACAAAAAGTTATAAGATAAAAGCAATTAAAAAGCCCATTAACCACAGCCTTCTTGATTCAAGTTGACATTAGTAAATGATTGCTTTATTGGCAGCACAATAAATAACAAAACATTGAAGAGAATTATATACAGCGAGCTTCGCGTCGAATTTTGGGAGAGCATTTGCATTATATAAGAACCGAAACATTGATATTCCAAGTCGCGTGCCATTCGAAAATTGATTACGAGACGTTGGGTATTCGTATGCGGACCGCTATTACCTTGTAGGTTCGCGTGGGCATCGGCGGGAGGGAGGGGTGTGAGGGCCAAGCACGGTCGTGCATGCAGCAGGGCGGCGGAACGGGGGGCCCGTGGCACCAGCACATCGGGGGCCACCAGCCACCCTCGGGCCAGCGAAAGTGCTCGTACGAGTTCCATCGTCTCTGCAGATCGGCCGGGTCGGACTCCTCGTCCCTGGGCCGCCGCGGCCGCGGCGAGGCGCGCACGCTGGCCGGGTGCTGCGGCGGCTTCGCTGTCAGCGAGGACCTCGACTTCCTGTCCCGGTCGCCGCGGTCGGCCGCCGGCCGCCGCCTCCTGTCCAAGCTGGCCGAGTTGTACTCGTCGGCGCGCGACCTCGAGGAGGCGGCATCCGTTCCCTCCTCCATTATTTCCCCGGTTGGCACCCACTTGAAGTCATCGTCGCACCGCCTCGAGTTGTCTATCCGCCTGTTCGGCGTCAGCGTCCTGTAGTCGGCGTCCGCGCAGCCGGTATCGTATTCGCGTTCCTCGGAATCGTCGTCGCTGGTACTGCTGGAATCCGTGTCGGAGGAGTCCGCCCGAGGTGGCGCCAAAGTGCCGTCGGTCCACGTTCTACATTTCACCGTTGCTTCGTCGGGGCTATCCGAGTCGCCGCCTGCGACCAGATAATACGTCAGAACTTAATTCCCGCGCGAGGAGCCTCGCGGCCGACCGCAACTCACCCATGGGCGAGTACATGTAGGAGCGCGCGGCCGGGTGCACATAGTCCACCGGCGCGCGCTCCTCATCCCCATCCAAGGGCTCCGTGAGATACTCGCGGTCGGACATGAGGCTCCTCGCGAACGACACTGCGCGACAAAAACACGGCACCAGTCATAGACGTGTCGCTATTTTAAAGCTTGGCCGCGTTCCAGTGCTACGCTGCGTCAATGACTCGTCCGCGTGTTGTGTATTACGTACTTTCGTGGGGGGTTCGCCCCTCGCTGGACTGTACCGAGGCGGAGTCGTGGGCCGATGCTTCGGAGGCCGTCGACTGGGGGCGTTCGCTCGCCGCGGACGTCCGGCGGGAGTTGTCTTCGAAGAAGGTGTCCTCGTTAGAGGCTCTTAGCGTCGTGGCGGTCGGAGGCGGTTTGAGCGACCGAGGCTTGCCGTCTGCCGCGGAACGATTGTGCAGCGCCGCGATGGTGGCGGCCACGAGTGAGCCCCCACGGCCGAGCTCGCGCATGTTTTACTTCGAAATGAGCCACGCATACGAACACGGCCGACGTCCGCGCCCGGAAATAGATCTCGGCTCGTACGTCTGGTGCATTCCGGACACCCTTCCCGCTTTGATCCTTTTTTTTTTTTCTGGAGCCACGTAGCGATAACTTTCATTGCGACGCCGGACACATTATTAGATTAATACGTGTTTATGAGGGCACTATGTTATTCACGCTCATGTTATTCTAACACACTACAAATCGGTTAACACCTCGTTATGCGTAAGCGCCGGCGAGACGTGCGTCGTGCTGCACACAACTTGGGTTACTTGACGCACTCACCGGTGGACAGTTGACTCCTTCGTACAGAGAGCGACGCCCTCTGTCACCGCATTCGTAATCTTCACAACACGCGCGTCGTACGAGCGACTCCGTTTGGTACACGCCCCACGTCTGAAGGCCTTTTAAATATTCAATGTTTTCATATACATATTCGGGGTTGTAAGGTGGCTGCGCCAGATAACAAGGCGGTGCGCTCGGCTCCTCGAATTCCATCTCGTGCCCCCCATTTCGGATACTCAAACAGTTCATGGCTTGTTTCGATTCTGTGCGAAAAAATTGGAAACTTCAAGATCGTGTATACCTTATAATTTGCAAGACTGTATAGCATTTTTTCAATTATTACCTTAAACGAACTAAATATTGCCTTGTTTTGGAGATAATAAAAATTTTGAGCCGGAAAAATTAAAAAAAATATCATAAGCACAAGAATAGTTGCTCATGCTTTAAGACAACTAATTTATTACGGTTATTAAATGAAAGTACAGAAATAATATTTATATAAGTCGTTATATTTATGATGATACATAATATGCAATTATTATTAATACAGATTATTGTATTGGGGAACCTGAATAGACATATAACATAGCTAGCATTATCCGAACATTCAAAGTTGTGTTAGTGTCTGCCTAAAGGACATACATAGTAATTTTTCTTCATAAGACTTCTTGTAGGAATGTAATGATGAAATGCATTCTCCGGTTCAAAGTTACTCTAGAGTAGAGTATCATATAGGTATGTTGTTACAACACTAAAATTCCATTCACAGTGTGCCGTAAACAAGGACATCGTGTTCGGAAACAGCGCGGGTGTAACATGTAACAAATACAAATTACTTTATTTCAAATACATAATAACTACCAACATAGACCCTGTTTATTGCTTGTCGCGTAAGTCGTGAGTCTCTCGGATGAAAGAATTCCTCCCTCGTCTCGGAAATAGAAACGACAGCTGTCCCCGCTGGAGCATCCGATAAAACTAAGCACCATTTTAATGTTCCCCCGGCGAACGCCGGTGTTGGAAACAGACTAAAAATAGTACTCACGTGTAAAAAACAAATTAAGTAATTATTCAATCTGTGCCCATACTGCGATTTCCATAACTTGATAACTCGAGTAACCATACACAGTAAATTTTCTATACTCGATGAAGATTTCAATAAACGTATTTAACTAGCTGATGCCCGCGGCTTCACCCGCGTGTCGGTGTTAAATAATGTGCATAAAATGCTTAAAGCCTCTATCTTATTTCTAATGATACGGATTTATACCGTATTTGTGTAAATAGTTTTCCAACTATCGCTTTATAATTGCCCATTTTTTTAAGTATTGAAATGGATATAGTATGTTATCCTGAGGAACATATGCCATCGCGGACTTTTCTGTAGACCTATATAAGATACACAATTCCAACATACATCATGTTGTTATATCTCAAAGTGTTTAGGCAACGTTTTCGTTGAAAGCTCCCAGGCGTCTTATTTTTTTCCGACACCAACAAATATCATTATATTTTAGCCAATGTATACAAAAAATAGACATATTATATATTAAAAACTTCCTCGAGAACCACTCTATCCATTGGTGAAAACAGCATGAAAACCGGTGCAGTAGCAGTTTTTGAGTTTATCACGAACAGACAGATGGACGCGTCGGAGGGCTTTGTTTTATAAGATGTTCATTGTGTCTGTATTATAATGTAAAGATAAAAATACAGACACAATGAATCTTGACTTCTGATTTATCTTTATATATATCAAAATGTTCAGTGATGTATGTTTACTTACCGTGGATAAGTGGGGCAAGCGGTGTAGTTGTTAAGACGCTGTATGCAGTAAAAATAGGTTTTTCAAAAGATTTTTTAACAACATCTACACATTTTATAGCAGCAAAAAAAAACATATGTTAATATTGATAATAAGCAATGCTTATACGAAGACACGTATATCGGCTAAATAGGAAATTATGTGAATAATGTAGATTTGAATATGAATGAACAAATTTTACCACTGTCATTAATGACATAAATTAATGACTTCCTAGTAAGAAAATAAAAAGGAAAATATAATAAAATATAGGAAATTAAAGATATGTTGACTGGGAGATAGTGTCTTTGGCATTAAGTCCACCTTTGTACTTTTTTTGCCTATATATATATATATATATATATATATATATATATATATATATATATATATATATATATATATATATATGACACATCGACATTCATTGAAATACAATATTACTTAATAATAATTACTCTAAAGTCTTCAACAATCTTATTTCAACAGAAATTCACAATAGATAAATAATCAACAAAAGAGATCAAGAATGTTCAGATTCAACAATAAAAAAAATAGAAAACAAATTTAATCTGTTATAAACTATAAATCCTGATCCTGCAATTATTAGAATATAATAATATTGTATGTGTAACACTTAATCAAAATTTGCTCAATTAATTGTATAAAACATGAAAGTTTTATTCGTTATACTATTATTTGACTATTTATTTCACTTAATTTAATTTAAAATTTTACTTAGGACCCACACAAATTTCAAAAAACACGTCATATAAAGAGTTTATACGAACATAATAGGTTGACGCTTTTAATACGACAATCTTAAGAAATTTACAATGATGGAGTAACTTACGATTTAAATGGCACCGACTAGTAACAATTCAGAGCACAAACACACTTTGCACGCGTTATGTACTTTTTCACTTGCAAATTTTCCAATCACAGCATATGCAATGCGATTCGTCCACACTTTTAGGTTAACCGTTTCTTAATATCATTAAAATCACACATAAATACGCAACACGAGAGACAAATCATAAATGAGTTCTCCAAATGCTAAATATAACAAGCGACCACTAATAAGCCGTACGCTGTGTCGAAAGCCGGCTTAGCAATCGTTGGCAACTGACTCCAAAGCTTGTGTCATGCGATTGAGAGAAAAAAAAAAGGATGACTCAAATCTTTAAATGTTTTTTTTATTAAAGCACCATATAATATATTATCCCCGTGTTTCCAGTAGGACGTTCATTAGGGCTGGCATTAAATCAAGACCAACGAACTCCTTTAGCTTTTGGTAAATCTAGGGACATAAAAATATATCATAATTTAACCGGAGCTTCACGATCTCTGTGATTGGCAGTCTTTATGTGAGAAGGTGGCAAGCGCTCTGGCGGCTCACCTGATGTTAAGTGATATCCGCCGCTCATCGACATTCGGAACACCCGTAGGCTTGCTGATGCGTTGTCACCTTTTATTAAAGTGGGCTTCGGTTACCTTACTTACCAGACGAAACGCAGAAGACACCTCTGTGAGGTCGTGATACCTCCCGGGACAGCCCATTAGTGCAACAGTTTCACTGTTGCGTAGCCCTACCACAGTTAAACTAAAATTCACTTAACGTGATTAACTACCACGTAAAATACGTAAGCCTAACAATTTCTCTTCATCTGCCTTTACTGTCAGTGGGAAACTTATTTGTAGCGATATAGTTTGTGCAGTTTGCATTATAAACTCTTTAACAATTTCGAATTAAGACAAAAATATAAAGAAGAACATGTCAGAGCGAAAAGCATCGAGAAATAAGAAATTAATGCTCTCTAAAAGAAATTCGTATTTATTATTATAGCTTAGTGTCGCATCACCGTACCAAACATACGGAAAATAATTCAAACCCGTGGTTTACATTATACACACATTAAATCATAGACAAAACCCTTTTGTAACTTCTTGTCCGGTGTATGTTGTACATGATGGATTAGTTGTCATTTTGCAAAAACAAATAAAAGTTACGACATACGAAATTTAATACTACAGTAGGCAAGGATCGAACCGGAATTTAAACGGCCAAATCGATGCCTTCACTACAATTTCCTCATTTAGATACAACGAATACATATAAATAAATAGTTTTATAAATTTTTTATATGCATTTGGTTCTCTTTCCGAATATGTAACGATCTTTCTCAATTATGTGAGCACCATTGATTTATAAATAGCAATCTTTATAGCTTAGTTGTGAATCAAAAGAGAAGAAACGGTTGGCACTAAAGCGAAGAAACTTTCAAGCAATACAAATACAAAATAGTGGCTATTCAACAGTAGGAAAATGGACTCCATAGCGGGCTGAAACTATAAATACATCGAATCACGAACGTTTACAACAGCCCGCCCCATTTAATTATTACTCGATGAAATGAGGAAACCACATATGTTTACAAAACATTCGAGATCCCTTTCTTTCTCCGTTCCCGATTTATAAGAGCACGTGTAACGGATTAAATAGGCCCGGCTTGTGTATATTTAGCGTGTATAAGAACAACATTTATAGGGCAGATTCCTGTTAGTTTCCTTCAGTTTGGATGGTATTAAAAATAAACAAAGGTAATTTATATCGAGGCTTACATTAAACTTTGTGAAAATATTATATGAAAAGATGTTACCATAGTAACAAGATACTTGATAAGCCGTTTGAAAATATTGCCTACCCAAGTTAATTGTTGAACGATGTAGGTGAACTATTTGACTAGACAGTTGTTCCAGAACTAGTTGTTTATCCTTGTTTATTTTGTGTTGGTAAGACGCCTCCCAAACAGGATTATCTTATCCTGTAAATAGAGTAACTTTACTTTGACTACATATCAGTAAAACAATTAGTGTAGTCCATATATGTAATCAAGTTTAAAACTCTGTGAGTCAATTTATATAAAAGAGGCTTTATTATTACTATTATGTTAATTATTGTGGGATGCTTTTTTTTAACTTTTCATATTGTATTTTAAACGCACGGATGACGGTGCGACGAATATTTGTTAAGATTATCGCGTTTCAACTTCCATTGCACTCTGGGTTACGGTTTCAATCCTCAATGGGGGGCGAAAAATTATTTGTCTCATAAGTAGTTACATCGGGTCTGGCTGTACACTGTGTTTCGGATTTTATTTTAATGAAATACCCTGCGCCACAGGAATGATTACCCAGTGCGGTAGTTGATTTTGTTGAGAAAACCTTACCTATTACATTACCTATTACATAACGAATTTTAATCCTTTTTTTATTTTATTTAATTTGACTCATCATAAAGTTATGTTGATTCCAGAGTGGAATGTTCAACTGCGGTATGATTTACGGATGAAAATATTTCATTTTATTATTGATATGTAGAAAAAGTAACAGCAAGATAAATTATTAAATAATAACTTAGGTAACATTGTAGATATTATTAATT